GATCTTCCGTAATAGAAAAAGTCTTCAAAAGCTCTTCTGCTTTCAAAACACTTTCCAAACATTGTTCCTTCAAAGTTTGAAGCTGCTTTATGAGAGTTCTTCTTGAAGAAGGTTGACTAGTAGTAGCCCTCTTCAACAACAGTCGCAATTTCTGGTTGTAAGAAGCGATATTAGAGATGGTTGTCGACAGTTCACTCAAGGCACTCTCTCCTTCTGCATCTGAAACGTTCTTCCGAATTTCCGAAACACTGACATTTTTGAGAGCACTGTTTTGTGAAGACATAAGAGAAACCCGCAAATCCAAATTAGAAATGAATTTTTAGGAAAGTTGTCCAAATAACTGAAAGTTGGTTTAGTGAATAGCAATATGTTCAGAGCTTTCAGTTTAATCGTTGCCTTTTACAAAAAAAGAGAATGCTTAGGAGCCTATGGAGCCCTTCCTATTTATCAATGTGTACGCATATATTATGTATAGCCCGTGTAAGTTTAAAAACGGGAACTTGAAAGTATTTCTCAAACGATTCTCGACTCTTACAAAGAAATTTTGCTCAAAAAGGAAGATTTTCTACCAAATGACAACTATTGGAAAAGGAGTAAAGGAAATGAAACGATCAACAAAACAACACAAATGTTGTAAGCCATTTAGGATAATATTAGATAGATAAATTTATATACGAAAAGTTTAAGCAAACTTCCTTAAAACACTACAAATTTCCTCCCAGGAAATGATACAGACAGCCTTGTTCAACGGTCTTGAGTTTAAAGTGTACTGGTCTTGTGAAAACGTTATGTAAATTAATAAAAGCCTCAGTCACATTCGGCCTCCTCAGAAGTTTCAAATGTTAAGCATCTACTCTCTTCAGCCAATCAAACGAGAAAGAGATTCTACTTCTCACAACAGGAAAAATTTAAACAGGCAAAACCTGAGTGACAAATATCTTATTGCTGCATGAAATGGCTGAGATATAATTTCAAATAAGACCATTTTGAGTTCTGCCAAAAATGAAACATTGCCAGCTTCTACGACACTTGGAGAGAGAATATCACGCTTTCTTATACAAAACAACAGTTACAAACTTTGTCTGATACCGAAATGTTGACATATAGCACCGAAACTGAACATTGCACTCTGGTGTTTCAGTACTTCGATATAAATGATTTACAGTTACAGTTAGGGGTCTCTTTAACTCTGACGGCTCTTCACCTGCACTTAAAAATGAATCCGTCTTGCAGTTAAGAACACAACAACTATCTGAGAGTTGAGGAGGGCAAGGTGGAGGTTCTCTCGAAAAACTCTGAAAGTCCGGCCATTCTTCACCGTAAGAATCCACAGGAGTGTTACTTTCATTTTCTCGCAAAAAGGCAATCTCTGCCATTCCTTTTTGGTAAGCTTCTAACATTACGTCGTCATCCTGAAATTCGCTCTTAAAGTTGTTGACTTGAACAATGTTGTTTAGATTTCCCATTCCTTGCAAACAATAGTTAATACCAGTACATTCAGTGGCCAACTGCTTACCATCTAGAGCCGTTGGAAGTTCTGGTGCGTGTCTCCTACATAATATCTTTCAATACTGTCGCAACAAATAGTAAGTTGTTGCATACCATTCATTATCTACGTAATATTTGTACTGATAGACGCCTGGTTCCAAATTTAAAAGAGTGTAAAAGTTGTTTCCCGAACGGCGCAGAGGATACATTGCTTGCCAATTATCAAAGGCGCCCATAATGAATACTTGCATTCCTCCGTGTCTCCAATCAAAGGCTGTGGGAATGGTACCAGCAAGTTCTATAAACAATGTTAATCAACTTACAATACGATAAGTGAAAAACAAACCGTCGTCGTCGCTCTCTTCTTCCCCTGCCTTGCCAGACATCATAAGCTTTCCTTTTCGAGAACCAAGAAAATTTCTAGGCGTTAGGTTTGGTGAGGGTGGCGATATTCTTGGACTCTTGGCCTCCTCATCAGTCAAGACCACAGTGGACGAGTCACCTAATGGGCGGCTGATTGGTATTGGCTTTGTGTCATAAGAGAACTGACGCCCAGAAGACTCTTCCACTTCTTTCAAGCTGTTGCTAAAACGACTCAATTTCTCAAGGGATGACTTTTCAAGGGAAGATTCCAGGACTGATGCAACCTTGGAAGCATCACTAACAGAGTCCGCGGTCTGAAAAGATTTCGGAACATCCTGAGACTGTCGTGAGTGATTTGAACCCATTTATATTATGTATATATATATCTATATATATTATGTAAATATTTGTTTGAAGGCGGCTTCTTCTCGCTTTTGTTTTTCACTCTAACTGATAATCATAATCCAACAATTCCACCAATCTCTTACTTGGCTGCGTTCATAACAATTATCATTCCAGTTTCAAGTTGGAAGGGCTATTGGTTGGAGCTTTCATTTTCACTTCATCCTACGAGAAAATATGCCATTGCCTTCCATTTTATGAAAGACAAACAAAATCTATTGAACAACTGACTGGATAAAGAAGCAACAATTCTTAGAGCATCCAAGTGATGCCCTTTCCATTGTCGATAAACGAAATGAAATAATAAAAACTGTCGTTTACTTGGTAAATTTTGTTCATCAGAGTCGTGACAAGAAGCCTTGACTCTTTTGAGAAAAGGAATAAGCAACTATACAAATTACGATATTCTAAAATACTTTTCTTAGGAATGTGAGGGTAACATATAACTGAATGGTCGATTTTCCTTCTCTTCTTTTACATCTTCCCTTTGAAAAGTTGGCAACGTAATGGTTTTCGCGACATTGACTTTGGGAGATTCAGAAGCTTCTCTTTGCTGCCGCGTTTCCTTCTCTTCTATAGACGCTTCCAATACATTCAAATCCTCTTCCAACTCACTTGTCATTTCATCAGAATTCGTCATGATAGAACCAGCAAGTATATCATCTATTTCTTGTTGGTCTTCCATATGCTCTTGAAGATCTAATAAGACATCATCTACTTCTTTCATATCCAAACCTTGGTCTTCTTTTAAGGAATTCATAGCATCTCTTCCAAGCTTTAGCACTTGTGCCGCTTGTTGTGATAGCTCTGTTGCCTCAGACGAATACAATATTTCATTCAAATTACTCAGTTGCTGATAGCTTCTATCGATACTACTTTCTAAAAATTTGCGAATACGAAGCAGTTGAATTCCTTTCCTTTTTTCATCCATGTAACTTTGACTCCCTGAGGACTTTCGCTTCAAACTACTCATTCTCTTTGCACAGGTACTTAAACTTTCCTCTACTTTCGACAATTTCAGGTTCAAGCTGTCAATATGTCTTTCGAGTCGTGTAATTTGAAGTATCAATGAAAAAATATTCTTATCAAACTCTTTAATAGATAGATCAGGTCCAAACTTTACTCCAAAAACATCTTTTTCTACTTCATACACAACTGCTTTTCCTTGTTGAACCAAAGCATACAATGAACGGTGACATAAAACCTCATCACCCGAGAAAACGGAACACAATTCTTGCACCAGAAAACGCCCACCAATATGAGTTTCTCGCTGCTCTTCTACAAAGCACCATAGCTTGTTGACGAGAACTTCTAATAAGCACTTGTGCGTCAATACAGTAGAAGCTGCATCGTCTCCCCAATCTGTCCACCATCTCAAAACAGGTTTGCAGGTTTGTTTGAGCAACCCGAATGAATAGTTAACTGTACTAGATAAGACAGATTGAACGAAATTAGTACAAGTCTCTCGAACAGCAACTTTTTCCAGTTGGAAAACTCCCACTGGAATCAGAACTTTTGTGTCAATCAAATAACTGATAACTTGGTCAAAACTCGCTGGAGGGCCTTCCTTTTCTCCAACGTTGACTTCCAACTCTTCCTATTCTCATTCAACTGGCCAAATCCAACCAACAGAAAACTATAAGAACTCACTTTCTTTGCTTGTTGTCTAGGACACTCTTTTAAATATGCCAGAATCTTCTCTTCTACCAGCTCGACTACTGAATCCCATAAGACCTACGTAAGCTACTCAACTTGTGTTGTTCAATTGGAAGCTAAAGTCACAAACCGGGTCTACTTCTCTGGTTGTTGGTAACACTGTATTCCACAAAGCCGTTCTAACCTCTTCTTTTCGCAACATGTCACGAACACTAGATTGGCTCGTCATCTGAGGAAGACTTTGGGATTCCAGAACAACGGCCAATGTGGATTCCTACTAAGGAAGGTAGGTAATGCGTCATCATAGTTTCTGGAGTGCTTTGACATGTCTGCTACAGTACATAAAGAGGTATTATCTGTCTTCAAGTTACTGAGTTGTGTGGTTAATATTCGAATAGTATTCTTTGAGTGTTCTTGAACATCGCGCAACTATAGAACCAGAGTTTAAGGAACAACTGGATGATATCTGTCATGGAAGTAGTGGCATTCTTTTCTTTCCATCTTTAGGTAGTTGCGATAATGAAGCTCAAAGGAAAGTCAAGGAAAACTGGAAAAATCTTGCGCAGGTCTACAAACCTTTTTGTGTGTTTCTTCTTTACGGTTCTGGTGGTGGAGGTCACCTTGCAAGTGCACAAGCACTGTTCGACTTGATAAAGGTATGCTAATTCTTGTTGGGTTTTGTCATTGGCAAATAGTTTGCAAAGGAAAGGCATCCTGAGTGGCATTGCTTTCTTTGGGATGTAACAGAGTTGGCAGGAATTTCTCTCAGTGGCGCTTTATATAATATTGCATTGGAATGGGATCTTTTACCCTTTGTTGGCGCCCTCTATTCAGTTGCCAAAGTATTTAGACCTTTGTTGGATCCTGTTTTTTCTACTCGTTTGAAAGGTCGATGGAAGCGTTTGCCTAAACCAGATTTGGTTGTTTCGTTTGTTCCCTTTTTGAATAGCGCTATCATAAACTCGTTGCCAGATTCTCAACATATAACTGTCATGACAGACTTTACTAATACGGCTGCTCATCCTTGGTTACAAGACAAACGCCAAAAGGTTCTCTGCGGAACGGTGACTTCCATCCAGCAAGCCATACGTCAAGGATACGATGTCTCGCACTTGAAGCCCATCAGTGGTATGGTTGTACATCCACGTTTCTACAAAAGCAGCAATGTGGATATTCCATATTTAAGAAGGAAACTGTTGGGTAGTAATGTGAATCATTCAACAGAAGAGAGACTAACCATCTTAATACTGATTGGTGCTTATCCCCCTTATTATACTACTCAACAAATTATTTCTTGCTTTTCTGCAACTTGTAGTCACCAGTTGGGTGTTTTGAACGTTATATGTATTTGTGGTGGCAACTCTCGCCTTTATCAAGAATTGAGTAGACTCAAGTGTCAAGGCCCAGCATTTTATAGAGAGAACTTGTTTTTGTTGGGATACACTAAACAAGTAGCTGAATATATGCGTATCAGTGATATTATTATTACAAAACCTGGTCCAGGAGTAGTAGCAGAATCTTGCGTCATGAAAGTTCCATTAATTATCTTAACCTTGAATAATCAATTAATGGAGCAAGAAGAAGAAGTCGCCAATTGGGTGGTTAAACATGGAATAGGTAGAAAGATTGTATTTTTTGATCAACTTTTGAATATAACGAAAGAACAAATCTTAATGTGGAAACACAACATGGAAAGTTTAGGAGAGAATAGAGCAGTATTTGAAGTTTTGAAAGAGTTGGAAACTTATGCCAAGTAACTTTAAATATTTTTGTAAATAAGAAATTGTCTCTGCCATTGACTTTTATAAAAAAAAAGAAGCACAACAAGTATTCCTTTAGAATGGTAATGCTTGTACATAACGACTCAAGGACTGATTCTCTATCATTCCATTTAGACTTTGAGGATCCTTTAGAAATTGGAGAGCGATTTGATTATCCAACTCATGAACCAACTTGGGAGGCATCTCACTTATGCTCATATTCAATATTCTCTGCACATGATGAGGCAACAAAATTGAATAGTCAGCCTGAGCTTCATGTGAAGCGCCTTTCAGTTTCCAATGAGCTGCAAAATATCCACTTTGTTGACTTTGCTTCAAAATAACTGCAACTTTTTTCAAAGAAGTCTCTGTTTGAAATTTTTCCGTATGTATGCAAACAACTGACGCATTCAACTGAGAAAAGCTATTGCTCAATTCATCTGGAACTGCTTCCATCCATGGATCGAGAGCTAAGCACTTACTGAATCTCTTCTCTAAATAGCAAGCAATAAGGCTAGTTGCGCCTCCAAAAGAATGACCCATAACTGTCACTTCCTTTAGATTTATTTTGCCTCTAAAGTCAAGATGAGTTGGAAGATTCACGAGATTTTTGGATTCTTCGTTTAATACTTTCAATGAGGCTAATGCTACTTGAAGGTCTACAACTCGACGATGAGCTTGCAAGATACGTATAGTTTGGGATACTGCTGGTGTTTCACGTTCTTCTTGAGTTAACTTTCGATAAAAGAGAACATCTCCATCCTTAAAGTATACTAAAGGAACTGAACCATCGGTATGATCCACTGAGACAACGATATATCCATGAGACGCCATTTCCGCACATAGCTAGAAAGAAATAGGTTCATCGATTTCAAAGACATTGTGCTTCCATACATACCACTGAATAACTTAATCTGTTTGCAAAGAGTCCATGACTAAATAATACAACAGGCCAAGGTTCAGTCGAGTGGGCTAAAGGAACATCTGACAACATCGGACTTTTCATCCAACTGGCTATGGACAACAAAAACGCATAGGCTGGTCGAGCACCAAACAGTTGGACAGTTGCCTTTACCAAAGGATGTGGATATCTTTGATACCATTTCAAAAAAGAAACATCTGGAAGGATGGAAGCTCGTTTGCTATCTTGTGTCACTGACAACCATTTTGTTATGAAATGAGTTGTTTGCTCTTTCTCTTTCGATGGATAAAATACTTGCACCATAAGTTTCTTTGGTGGAGATATATCTATTGGAAGTCCCTTATCTATCTCAGGTGCAATATAAGGACCGCCTCCAAAGACACAAACATTGGCTTGGGTGCAGTTCACAAATTTCCAAGCTCCACTTGGTCTGTATATAAGAATATCTGTAGTACCTACTGTGTACCTTCCTGAAGGTGAGGGTAGTCGATCGTATAGCCAAAATTGTATAAAAATAGCCAAAAGAGGTGCTGCAATAAGCACTGTGAAAATCCACGAGACTTTCATCGAGTGTTTGCTATAAACTGAAATTTCTTTTCGAATTTCATGAATTCGGCAGACGCGTTGTTCGGCGTACAACCTAACAAGGATGAACTCAAAAAGGTATTAGAAATAAACGCAGTAACCTTAGCAGCCTACTTTGCTATTATTCGTGCTACGCCGTTTGTGAGTTTCTCTTTATGGGAACTTTTCTGGGAGTCTCACTTTGTCAAAACTTGTTAGGTCATAGACGTAGTTAAGGCTATTTTCCGGAAGGATTGAAAAGTGGTTCTTCCGATTGATTGCAGTGTAGCGAAGGAAATCTTTATCGATGTTTTGGGAGCTTATTGGAACGTATTCTGTTGATTCATAGTAAACTTTTTGACAATTCATTTGTTGGCTCTGTACATATTTTCAAATACTACAATTGTGCACTGCATTTTATATAGAAACGACTCATAGTCCTTTAACTGAGACATATTGAACTTGGATGAAAACCTTTGAAAGCTCCTCCTTTTGTGTTCCCCTTGAGCAAACTCATATGAGATGGTACAATCAAAACAAACAACTTCCACAATAAGCATAGGTAAACATCCATACTCGAAAAATAACTCAAACTTTGGGTTGGCAAATAGTAGCAAAAGTGCTTTCTGCTTCAATGGTTTGAAAGTATGCTTCAACATATTTGCAGCTCAGAAGAAGACTTACAACTCTTAGGACTGTGGTATTGATTTAGTGACAGAGAATAATAATCGAAACTTGAATAATATATTGCAGTCTAGTCATTCAATACACTTTTAGTGGACGTAAAAAACTTAGCACAAGACACAAACTCTAAGCGAAAACAGCTTTATTCAACATTTTCATTTTCAAATGATCAGAAATTTCTGTGCCTTTCAATGTCAAGTTTTAGGGTCCACTCACAGAAAGTTTTTCAGAGCAACTTGTACAACTTTCAGAATGCATACCATGACTGAGAGACGAAATATTACAAAACAATGCAAGTCATGCTTGGAAATGAATAAAGAACAAAGCACCGCGAGTACGGAGGAACTTTTGAATCCAGCGAAACTGGCTTCTCTGCAGCGTCAATACAAAGAGCTGTTGGAGCAGTTTGAGCAAACTTTGGATAAACATAACAGGAAAGAAATGCAGTTAAGGCTTGAGAAACTAGAGAGAAATATTGGTAAGTTAAAAGGAGAAGACTCCATCTATCTAACACAGAAATGATAGAGCTAGAGAAACGTTCTGTTATGACAAGTGGGTTGAGAAGTTTATTCGTAGTTCAAGCAATTGTCTCTCTTTCTGTTGGAGGACTTTTAGCAGCCAATAAGTTTCCTTTTGTTCAAGAAGTACCTCTTGTGTTCCGTATGATTATCTCCTTGTGAACAAGAGTCTTATGCATTGCCTTTTGTTAGGTGCGTTGGGATTTTGGATGGTCTGGTTATTCACTATTCCTTCTTTGCGAGCCCGAAAACCGAATATGGCAGAAAAGAACGCTTTAAATGTAGCCTTCTTAGCTTGTCCTGTTGCTAACGTTGTGATTCCGTTCGTCAACAAAGTTGGTGTAGAATAAGATTTCAAAGTGAATTATAATAGAAATATTAGGATACCTTCCTTCTTTGGTTTGTTAACGTTTCTGTAGTTCTTAGCCTTTATGGTTATTATTTCTTTTTGAGCGACGAAGCTGTTCGCGCACAAAGTCAACTGAAAATTCGTGGCATTTTGAGGTAGGAGGAGAATTGCAGAGAGAATCGGATTTGCAAAAGTTCAACTAAATGTTTTAGGTATCTTGATTGGGGTAGTTGGCGTTGAACTCAGAAACTTTGGCAAAATGGTATAAAAAGTATTTTTGGGAAACTCTTCTGTTAGATAACTAGCCTTTCTACTTGGCACTATTTGAATGTCTCCATCATTAACTCATATAAGAGACTTTTGGAATGCACAACTCAAGTAAGCACTTACTACAAGTCACATTATCGTAATTATGCTGATGATGAGTTGCTAAAGTTTTTGTTGTTGTTGTTTCAAAAGACTTGCGATAAACACAATTCCTATTCTTTCCATCATCCATTGTTTATTGGTATTGTGGAAGATTTTGTGTCCGTCGATGGCAATGGCCAACCTTCCCTTAGGTGTTCAGTTACAAAGGCTGCAACAACATAACGAGACTAGTAAAGCACAAGGCAGCACAAGTTGGAAGAAAAAGTCTGCTAAAAATAGGCCCGTAGAAGCACCAACGAAAAGACCTATCGGAGGCTTTGAAAAGGCTTCTTATAGTCAACGAAAGAAAGGTTTCGACCCTCGTTTTGAATCCCTTTGTGGGAAATATGAAAGACATCACTTTAATAAATCATACGGCTTTTTAAGTGATTGGATAGATGAAGAACAGGTAATTGATTTCTTCGATGCCCCTGACAAGGGTAACTTGTTCATTTAGAAACAACTGGAAAGTCGATTGGAGTCAACAAAGGATCCGATGGAGCTGAATTCTTTGAAAATAGAACTATCACGCCTAAAAAAGTTGCGTAATCGGGTTCTCAAAGAAACAAACAATAGAAGAAAGGAGTCCAAGTTGCGTCAAAGCAGTGGAAAGCGAATATTTATTTCCCAGTATGTAGCGTCTGTTTGGATAGATGTGTTTTTGTTTTGTTAACTGTGGAGAATAGACGTAAGGCAAATGAGGAAAGTATGAAAGACAAATATGAAGCTCTCAAAAAGTCGGGAAAATTAAAAGAGTATATAGAGAAAAGGAGAAAGAAGCAAGCTTCCAAAGTAAGTCTTTTCTTGTCAGTAAGGCGATTACTTAATGCTCTCAAGGATCGTCGTCTGTTGCCAACAAGACGAAAGACAAATATGACATAGTGCTTTGTTATAATTGCATAGAATTGAAAGTTTGTATATTTTCTATATACGAATTTTTGGATATTATCATGTCTGTTTTGTAAAGACTTTGTTATGATGGCTCACTGCTCATTCCAACGCCGATTCTTCAACAAGAAACCTTCCATCTACACTTCAAAGATAGCGACAACGTTCAAACATGTTTATTAACTCATACTAAGACTTTAACTAAGAATACAACAAAATACTACACTGAGAAGATTTCTACATATCAAAGTCCATGATACATCAAGATGTACAATTTGGACGGCGAATAGCTTGTTGCGGTTCACGCGTAGCAAGTTCCGCATTGTAATCGCCTTCCCTTGAAGAATCCTGACCGTCCGTATCTTCTACAATATACGACTGTAACGACTTTGGCAATAGTTTCGGAATAGACTGAATTAGAGTGGAACCTGGTCCTCGGTAGTCTTTCATTATTTCAAAGACATAGACAGCGAAACAACCAAACATAAAATGAAAAAATGCAAACAATTCTTGCAGAAACAAGAACCATTCACTGGCTACTGTCTTCATCTTCGTATTCAAACTGGTCAAAGAGACAATATTAAAACGCATAAAATTCGAATCTAAAAACACAAGGCGATAACGAATAAAGCGGACAAAAGCCAACGGCAATGCGATAAAAAGAATTGCAACTTGTACAATATAGCTCACAACTTTTCTCCAAACGGGAACATCTTGCACGGAGGAACCTACAGAACTCCAGGAGTGTTCCCACTGTGTCGTTGAAGAACAAGGTGAACTTGTTTGAGAACATAATGGTTGCCACAAGCAATCAGCTACTTGGGAAGTGACCTTGAACAAAGCATTCACGATGATGAGAAAAGACGTTACTAGTCGGCCAATGCTGCCACCCAAACTTTCGACAGATAGTTCCAAGTGTTTCACGACTGGTTCAACTTCTTTCTCTAACAATTCTGTGGTAACATCCCAAGATTTTTTCGTAGCCGACTTGATGCGAAGGTCACCAACCCAGTTGTCTACTGTGGCGCCCAATTTGGAAGGACTCCAAGTTTCTGGAACTAGTTGGTGCAGTACTTCTCTAGTTCGGCTACCTACACTGTCCATTCCTGCCGCAATTTGAGGGTGTCGTTCCCTCAGAACGGCAGCATTTGAGGAACATAACTGTGTAGCGACTTCCAAGGAGCGTCGTATCCTCCCAGGGCTTGGTGGAGCCTCGGCGTTCGTGGCGTTGTTTCCTGGGCTCTCCTTTGACAAAGGCTTGTCTTCTATGTGGGGTTCTTTTGTTGGTGAGTTGACAGGTGAGCTACCGTGACTTGAAGACTTCTTTACCATCTTATTTATAGCAGTAACTAACTGAGATGACTCCACTTTGGTGACCACTCAGTAATAACGGTCCCCAGTTGTACAATTCTCCAAATTGATAAAAGGTCTGGAAATGATTATTACCTTAGAGAAGACGACATATATCAACTTTGACAAGAAACAATTCATCTAAAAACTATCAAAATACTGCTCTATATAGCATATGACAAAAAACTTACGCAGTGTTGTCGCTTTTTGACTATCATTGTACAAGAATTATCCATGGGTTCGATTCAAAAGACACGTCATCGGACTAGCTCGGCAAGTCAAAGCATTCCCCAACGCATGTGGAGTGATTAGGTGTCAACAACTTGTCATTTTCAAGGACGAGTAGTAAACGGTTGAGTGCCATATGGACCAACAGTCTGAAACATCATTAGATTCTGAGGTATCGCTATCAATATACTCTTTAGCAAGGTATCATGCTCATACGGTATCTAGTTGATGGAAATTCAAAACCTTAAACGACTATTGCGGAAAACCAAACAACAAGAACAGCAATACAATCAAGTTTATTCTCCTATATCTTCCAAGGTATGCAAAAGTAACCAATTTCATAAAACTTCCTTTTGAGAGTCGACAATAGGAACTTCAAAGTGAAATGGACATTCTTCTATCAGAGACAAAAGATCCTTTGACTGTAGAAACCAATGAAAATTCCATTTGTCATATGGAAGTATCAAATACGACAACATCAAAAACAGAAAGGTGAGTTGCGTTCTGTACGTGATTGAGAATCTCATGCCAATAACTTTTTGCTTTGATGTTTACATAGGATGCTTGAAGAGGCAAAAAGTAAATTGCAACGGGCAAGACTGCTACTGAGTGAGATGCAACAAACTTCAACTGAAAAAACCAACACTTTAGAAACTAAAAGAAGGCTTAAAAAGGATCAAAATGAGGATGAGCAACTTCAATCCTCCAAAAATTCAAATCCAAGACTGCCAGTGCAAGTTCAGATGGCAATCAATCGAAGCAACTATAGCAGATCAGGCGAACAAGTTAGCAATGAATCTCTCAAAATGCGTCAAGTTAACCACAGAAAAGGAACTGAAAGCAACATACAATCCATTACTGCGGAACCTCATTACAACAATGCTGCCTATCTAAAATGGTTTCAAGAGATATCGTCAGAGCTAAAGAATACAGCTCAGTTATTGAAAAAATTATATAAGAGAGGGAATGATCACAAAGCATTGTGCCAATTGGAGTCAAAGATGGATCAAGTCTGGTCTTTCTTGAACGATCAAAGTTTGCAGCATCGTGATGAAAACAACTCCAGTTGGTTTCGAGCCTATCAAGAATTAAAGGAAGAACATGAAGAAGTTGTTCAACAACTGCAAGAAACGTATGATTCATTTAGGATATTACAAGAGGAACATTACCAACTACAAAATCAGCATCAAGATTGTTATCTTCATTCTCAACAAACAGAAGATAAAATACATTACTTGGAGGAACAGTTGGACAAGTTACAAGTCACCTTTTTGGAAATGCAGAATCAGAGAGACCAGTATATAGAAAAATTACGAAAGAACAAGGAAGAATTCATGCAAGTTGAAAACTGTCTTGATGAGCTTATTCAGATGATCCATTCTCTTTCACAAAAAGTGTTGACTCAAAACAGGTGCAGTGCCTTTCAGTCAGATCATCATTCTCCTCTAATATGGGAAGAGGAATGTTATGAGCCAAGTGAAGAAAAGTATGTAAGAGAGGAATATTCTAGTCATACAGGAAATGAAAAATATCACGGCTCCATTTCTAGTGGGTCATTGAATACACAACAACGTTACCAAAAAATAGAGTCGGTCCAGCCAACAAAGGTATACTATGAGAACCATTTATGATGTTTACAAACAATCTTTTTGCTTAGGGTTCCAAACATCTAAAGTATACGCATAAAGAAACTACGTCCATTCCTATGACCTATTCTGGGAAATGTGTGCAGAGCCATTCCGGAAGTCATAGGCAAGTTTCATCATCCGTTCAAACTGCCAAAAATGGTCATCCAAAGCAGCAGCATGATGATGATGCGGTAAGTTTACAGTTGTCTTGGAGTTTTAAGAAAGTATAGTCATATTTGTTTGTATTAGCGAACGAAACATTCAAAGGCCCGGGCAAGGAGACAAGTGAAAGTCACTAAAAGTGACCAAGTTGAAGAAAACGTCGCTCAACTATTGAAAGATGAAGCACTTCATTCCCGAGAGCTGGAAAACTTGGAAAGATATCTTGACCAAACATTGTCTACTTTACGAAATTTTCCAACTCGTACTAAATAAAACAAACATTGAGTACTGACACTAGTTGAAGTGTTCCACTTGGTTCAAATTCTACCATTTTCTAAAATATCACACATTTTCTGGTTCTTGTGTTAGCTCCTTGTCTTCTTCTTTCGGTTCTTCCTTAAAGACTTCCTTCCCTTCCAAACTCTTTTCTTCTGGCTTCACAGAAGTAACTTGTTCAGTCTTTCTTTTTTTCAGATTGGCAGAACCAACACCAACGACAGGACTAGAGTATTACTTAGAGATACAGAATATAGCTTTCTACGCAATAAACTACCTATCAACATAGTAGGGAGGTTTCTTCAAATGAACTCCATATTCTTCCAAGGCTTTGGACAAATCTTCTACACTAGATGTTGTCAAAAGTATCCAAAAACTTATATTTTGCCTTTCTTACGTTAATATAACTTCATTTTCTTTACTCTTCTTGGAAGTTGCCTGACTCTATAGGAAAATAGTTTACAACGGTCAATACAAGGATTTTGGAACAAGTTCAAAAGTCTTGAGATTGGTACTTACCTGCTGGCGTAGCTTTACATGATTGAGTGCGTCGTTCGCAACGTCTGCCACAAATTTTTGTGCCGCAAGGGCAACCAGTCCTATATGCTTTCTGTAAAGAGACTTCCTTTCTTCATAAGGACACTTACTTTCCGCCCGGATATCATCAGTTTGAAAGCCTGATTTTGCTAAATAATAACGTACTAGAGCGTCTGGAAAAGCAGGTTGATAATTTTCTAAAGACTCCAACAGCTTTTCTATTTGGCTCGTTTCAAACAGATCCATCGACCCAACTCACTTCGACAAGATCGAAATAATGAGATGCAACGAAGGCCTAATGGAAAGCAACTCTCGTCAATAGGATTTTATAGAGCTTCAGTTTATTTTTCATATGGGCAATGAAGAGATATTAAAAGTTCCTCATACTGTTCATAATATAGCACAGCATCATATTTCAATGAACGACACTTCAATTGAGCAACAAGAGGAGATGGACCATTCAAATAGAGAGCAACACCAACCTTGGACTTTAACTTGTGGAAGTCCTTTGATAGAACGAGAAACTGCCAAACACCAATTAGAAAACTCGATAGTAGGTAGCTTAGTCGTATCACAAACGTTTTGACGTTGTCACTAGTCTGGACAAAATATCTTATGGGATAAATTGCAAAGTGTGTTTGTTACGTGCTTCAAGAGCAAATCCTCCGTCGCCAAACAAGAAACTATTGCCTTTTTACAGCAACTTTCAGAATCTGGACAAATAGATAGAGACATTTTAGCAGAAAAGGTATGCTATTCTGTGTTCCTGTCTACAACGTTGACCGAAACTTTTTGATGTAAAGATATTGAGTGGAATAGAAAAGTGTTCAGAAGACCTGACAGAACCGCCCTTAGAATTATTCAGTTTCTTGATAGGACTGATATTTGTTTTACAGTCTGAGAATACCCGAAACTTCTACCTAGTGAGGTTGCTTTCTAATCAGTTTCTGGAAGATATAGTATTCTATGTCTTATGTCAATATTTTATGAGCTATCAACAAGAAGAAAAGTTGAAAAGCTTGGAGCTGCTGTTGTCACCGTTTTCAACGTTGCTTTGTGAACATAAGAAGACTATGGAGCAAAAGGTGAAAGATATTGATGCAAGTTTATTTTTTCTTACAATTTTATAGATATTTTATTTTTTATCGACAATTTATGACTACTTTGACGAAGTAAGTTCTTCAGAGAAGAAAGAAATTTTACTAGTTATCGTTCTGCGACTCTTGGCTATCAAACCAAAGTCTTCTTTACTTTCATTTGCAGAATTGGGGCTACTTCAGAAACTGTGGACCAAGTCTTCTCGAGATATTAGCCATAGAGCACTTATTTTACATTATGTATTGGCTCAAGGCTTTGAAGGAAAACCAGAATTTATTCTTTCATTGTGGGAAAATAGCCACAAGAATATTGCGGAGAGAAAGCTGTGGCAACAGACCATTTTCTATNAGTAAGTTCTCCACTTCATAGTATTTTATTTCTTATTGTTTAGCTTTGGAAGGAATCACTGGATGTGCATGACAATATGGCTCATTTTTGTTGTTCTTCGAATGGGAAAGACTCGCGCAGCATTTCAAATGAAAGAACTGTTGGACTTGGTATTCTCTGTTGAAATGGGAAATGAAAAGACCCATACAAGTACTTTGTATTTGATGGAAGTCATTTTGATAGTTATTGAATATGAATATTCTAATCTCTCATGGATATCTTCACTCAAAGAGACTTGGTGGAAATGCAAACAAAGCAACTTGGTGGATAAGAGTATGCCCAGTGAAGAGCCGATGAGTAGACAGTTATATGGAAATTTTACTTTTCCAACTGATAAGTTTCAAATATTTCGTTATTTTCCAAAATGGGTGGTTAGTATTCATATGTTGGAAGATTTCCTACGAGTGGAAGGAGAAGGAATGGAAAAATTGCTGAGGAAATGGGTAAGTTTGGTACAATTTTTGGAAACACACAAGTTTTTTACTACATCTTTCATAGTATAACAATTTGACATGTTGTAGTTCAACACTTCAGTTGTGGTTTGCTCTCTGTTGTGCTCACATATTTAGGCAAATCAACAATATGGACAGATTATCTCAAGTTATCAGTCTCTTTCATGAAGCTAATAGTATTGAAAAGCTAAATTTTTTGCCTATTCTTTTCCAACGTGAATGGCTTTGTCAATTTGGGAAGCTCAGCGGATCTTGGCTGCAGAGTTGGTTGAATAGCTGTCCTGTCGAGTCCCATTATTCATTAATATTGTATAAGTGGTTGCTTTCACTTATAGGTATCTGTAAGAAGCCTCTTAGAAATGGAAACCAAGGTGTGCCTGATTGCTTACTTCATTGAAAGCATTGTGATAACTCTTTTAGGTATTCATTTGTATACTTTGGTCGTTTCCATAATGCTGAAAGAATCTACAAGTCGAGGAGAACCTTGGAAGACAACAGTTGTGGATGAAATTGTTTACTGTATAGAAGATTTTCCTCAAAACTCTCCATTGCAAGAGATAGCGTACAGTTGGATCGAATATTTGGTTGAAGAAAGACCAACTTGGGTTGCCTATTCGTTATTTTTCATTGTTCAACAACCGCTTGTTTCGCTTTCTAGTAATCATTGTGTTCCACACATTGCAGCTTCTTGCATCAAAATTGTTTGCCAAGTAAGTATTCATTGCAGATACTTTATTCAAAGACTCAAAACACTGTTAGTTGTGTCAAGCTAAACTATTGGATCACACAAAGACTTTTCAAACTTTGTACAAATGGTGTTGCAGCTCTATCTCTGATTCTTGGGAACTTGAGAAGGCATGGATAGAGTTTCTTGGTACAATTATGATACTTTCTAGTCAGAATAATGGAAAAGATGTGCTTGACAAAAGTTTGATGGATTCTAATTTATATTTGGAGATATTCAATTGGATCAGTTCCAAGTTTGTCAATTGCAGTATCGATGATCACAAGGAGTTGAGATGTATTATGGAGACATGGTTGTTATGGTTGAAAAAATGTTTGGCTATTCATTCCATTGCAAATGTTCAATCTCAACAAAACACTACCCATATTTTAGAACCGACACAATGGAATCTATTTCTTGAAACCTTATTTGAAAAGTATTTTTCTAAAGATTGTCATATGTGGTTTTCGTCAGTAGAATCAGAAGTGACGCTTCATCAACTAGTGGCAACTATGATTCAAGCTGTTGAACTGGAATGGCAATATCGAAAGAGGCTAGAATGGTCTGCTATCGAACAAGATCATTCCATAAGAAAATGGTCATTTAACATGCCTTCAATACAAGTTTGGCTCAACCAGTTGGAGAAATATACTTTACAATGTCCATATGGCATTATTCGTTGTTGTCTTAACCATATTCTCAATTTTATATGCAGTTTGGTCAATGGAGAAGATGGTAGTAGTAAGATGGCTCAAGGATTTTATTCACTGTGGATACTTTCGTATAGTCAAGTGTTACCTTTCCACAACATGTTTTGGCAAAAGTGGATGTTTATTTTGAGTCAACATTGGCTTTCTTGGATGGAACAATGCACAAGACTTGGATGGAAGCTTTCTATCTTTACATTTTGGATATCACTTTGGAGCCGATGGAGTGTCAAAATAAGTTCAACTTGTAGAGAATGGTTATTATATGAGTTTTTGGAGAATATTCAAGTGACTGATGGGAAACATGTTGGTTTGGAAATGGCACGTTTTTATATGTTATGGGATTTGTTGGTTGGATATCGACCAATGCAAATTCAACCTAATCTCCTTCTGTTCTTGCAGAAGCAACCGCAGTCGAATAATATTATCACTGAGGAAATAAGACAAAATATTCAAAAATGGTGGAAAGATTTATTTCATATTATAGAAACTCGGCTAACTTCTGTAGAACATTTATGCTGTCTATTTAGGTTCGGTAACTGGACCGAGTTGATTTTATCTTATCAGAGAACATCCACGCTGTCAACAGATACAATGCTGCATATGATCAAAAACTGGATTGGAAACCAAATCATTTGGATGGTAGGAGATGAGTCGGGTTGTGACATTTCAGTTTTATCGTTGATGAGATTGATTGAGCCATGGAAGTCAGTAGATTTGGATTGGTTATTGAATACATCAGATTATGGGAAGAGCATAATGAATATGCGTTATTATTGTATGCATAAGGGTTTATGTGATTGGAAAGCAGCTTTTGGTATGGATTTTTTATATTTTTGGATACAAAATGAAGCTTTGTCGAGTGGAAAGGAAATGTATCTAAATGCTTCCCTCAGATATGGTCTTTCACAACGAAATTTGGAGCAAATGGTGCAAACTTGGATGGATTGTTTATCCAGTCTACTGGCACAAGATAATAAGAAGTATCTGCATCGTTTGCTGGAGTTGCTTTACAATGCTTGGATAGAACTTCATGATACAAAGCTTAACCAAGTTGGTTGCCAATTTACGAGTATAGATGCACTCGTTCAATTAGAAAGTTGGTATCAGATATTGTTTTCCACCAATCAAAAGTTACTCTTCAGTCCTATTGAGAATTCTATTTTACAAGGTTTAGGATTGTTTTCATCTCACAAGTAGAGTAGGTGTGATATAAGATTGTATTGGAATGAATCTCTTGATGGCAGTTTGTAAAAGTCTTTGCACACTCATATAATGATAGGTTCAATCCTTCATGAAAACATAAATAGTTGACACTCTAGAAGAGAGTCTTGCATTGGAGCCAATCTTCCCTCTTTTGTTATCATATTGGTTTGTATGTGAGAACATTTACTATCTGTTTTTGTAAATATCACTTTGTAAGAGAGACAAACCAGTCCATCTGGTTATCGAGATTCCATCACAAGTTGCCAATAGTAAATGTAATTCCTTATCCAATAATGTGAGTCAATCTTTGTGGGAGGAGGAGGAGATCATGTCTTATCTCGTAGTTGCCTTTCAAGGAACCTTTCTTTTCAAGATAATCCATTTTCGAAACAACAAACCACAAGTTTGTATATCTTGTCTACAAAAGGAACATTTGAATATTTGTAGAAGAAGGCTTCTACAAATTTTGACAAGTTTTACTGTATTACAAACAATTCCTCGTGGGATGTCGAGTGCTTCAGAGTTGTCCCATTTTTATGCTTTGGAGGCATTGTATGAAGGAAAATGGGTTTCATTTGAAAAATTCCGAAATCAGGTAGTACTCGTTACCAATGTTGCCTCACTTTGAGCTTTGAGAAATAAAAATTACAAGGGACTGGTGCAACTGGACCAAAAATATCGCAACAAAGGTAAAGACAAAATAGTACAAGAGAAAGACACAATAATCAAAATTTTCTAGGCTTAGCAGTCATAGCCTTTCCTTGCAATCAATTTGGCCATCAGGAGCCGTTTTCTAATGAAGAGATCAGAAAGTTTGCTTTTGAAAAATACAATGCAACTTTCCCTATTTTTGACAAGGTCGATGTGAATGGTCCAAATGCATCTCCTGTATACCAATTTCTAAAGAAAAGTTCTCATACTGGAGATATTGAATGGAACTATGTTAAATTCTTAATCAATCTTCAAGGCAAAGTTTCTCGTTTTGCACCATTTACAGATCCGCTCGAGTTGGAAAAAACTATCCGAACCTATTTGAGCCTATGAAAAGGCATTGGAATTCTCTGTATGAAAGTCGTGTCACTCAAACGTGCGATATGTTACACGTGAGACTCGACTGGATCCTTTAGAACTCCAAAACAACAATAAATATTTACCACATTAAAACACACTTTTTGGGAGCCAATAGAATAGTCGTCGTAGAGAATCCATTTTCTTTCAACAATTTGTGAAACGAGTCTACATGAACTTTGGCATACTGTAAGCCTTGTGTGACTATTCTTTCACAATAAGCAGCATCAAGAGTTTGCAACAATTTTCTTCTTGTTGCTTTACATTTTCCTTTCGCAATGCTACTCACATCTCGAATCGTACATTGCGGACCAAGACGGCGTTGAATCTCGTCCCTTATGAATGCGATATGCAATAACAACTGCAATAAATCAACAGACTCATGATTTCGATGTAATGCAACTCTAATTTCTCCGTCGCTTAAACTCAAAATGTATTTTTCTTTCGAAAACTGACGAGTGTAGTTGGCTATCTTTTCTATACTGATCGACAACTCCGTTAGTCCTACTCCTAACCTCACATGGGGATACTGAAACACGGTTGGAAATAAAGGAACAAATCTTTCGTAAGAGTTACTCATGGACACACTAGGTACATTTTGAAACATCAAATAAGAATGTGCCAAAATATTTCCTCTTTGTCTATTGATTGTTGTCAATTCTGCAACTTGCATCGACTTGTAATTGAAAAACGAATAAATGGCAGTAAAAAATAGAAAGACTCCTAAGCGTACTTTAGGAGCTGCTGGTAAACACTTACTCATCCAGACACCAATAAGAGTTCCCAACATTCCAGTAACCACATTCTGTGCATCGTTCTTGGCACTAATTTCGCCAAGATTTTCTCTCCTCACAAAAGTTTTCAATACTGAATATCTACAAGAAATTCCTATAGCAAATGCGATGGACTTGGATATATTTCCTAATGCAGCCATAAACAAAAAATATTTAGAAAAAGCCGGACTCAATATCTCTAAACTCAATCCTATCCTTCTTTTCAGTACATTCTCCTAGTCATGAATATATTTCATTCCTACCAATATCATACAAGAGATCAGATACAAGTCGCCAACGTTTAGGATCAGCATCATACTGATTACCTAAAACTGCAGTAAATAGCCTTCCTACTTGACCAATGCCATCTTTCCAAGCCCAAGCAGTTGCTGCCGCTAGAGTCTCTGAATGGGTCCTTCCAACTCCTGCAGCTAATAAAAGAGCTTGAGTACTCAGCACTTGGCTTATATTACTAATGATATTTTGAATTCCACGCCATATCGAATATTGCAAGTAACTATCGCCTACACTTTCTGGAAAACCCTCAGGCAGAAAGAATGTGCTCAGACTTGAAGTAATCTGTTCCCATAGATTTTGCCTATTCAGAGAACGATGGCATAAATACTCTTGACTTTCAATATCGGGAAAGCACTCATAGTCAACAGGTAACTTTGACAAGTCGCGATTGTCAACAATAGCAAACTCTTCTCCATAAGATCCCCTGTACTGTAAAACCAACGGTGTAACTAAGAATAACGAACCATCAAACTGTGGATCTTCATCGGGATAGAATGGGTCAAACCATCTTTTGGTAGGCACTTTTCCATTTCCGTTATTATTTCCGGTAGTAAAAGAAAACCACGACCCAAGATGGTTATGCTCTTTTCTTTGAATATGACTAGAAGACTTTTGAACGCCGTTACCAAACGACCCATTCAAGTCTTTGTGTTCATCATCGGTGCACAGCTCTTTGATAGTATTCATATATAGTATATTCGTAGAGTGTACCAATTTCAGGTAAGGAAAAATAAAAACTGTTGTCTTCATATTGCACAAAAACAACTGTTCATTCCAACATGATACTCATCGTGTTGGGAAATAAGAGAAAGAGAGAAATAACATTTTAAATGATATTGAGTGCATCACAAGAACAATGTAACAATAGCTAACGTGGATAAAGCATCATTTGAGTGCAACGAAATAGAGCAATCTTCTTTCCGTCTTCACGAAATACTTCTGCACTCCAAACCTGTGTAGAACGGCCCTCGTGTTCCAATCTTGCCAGACACCTAATCTGTCCCTTCGTAGCAGTACCCAAAAAGTTTGACTTGAGTTCAATTGTTGTAAAATTCTTTGCACCTGAAGGCAGAGACAAAAATGTTCCACTACCACAAGCAGTATCTGCTAGTGTAATAACTGTTCCAGCATGACAATAGCCATTAGCGGCCAACAATTCTTCTCGAAGATCGAGACAAGCTGTAACTGAACCTCGCTCAGCAGCGACTATCCTAAAACCAAGTAAAGTTGGAAGCCCACACATTCTCCTCTCAAGAACTTCCTTTGCAGTAGAAGCCACAGAACAATATTTTCTATTCTGCAAAGCATTGCGAAATAAAGTTGTATGAAGAAACCGTCCAAATTGCATTCCTTTTGACACAGCAATGCCCACAATTCATAATACAAAGAATAGGACTGCTGCTCAAGTCTGAGTGATCGTCGCAATGGAAAACAAACATACAGTATCCATTAAACAACTTCGAGACTCTTTGCGTAAAATGATACTAAGGGAAAAGATAGCAGCAGAAGGAGTGGCTTTAATTGAACTAGAAGATTATTGTTTGCAAAGTGGAAACAAAGTAAAATCCCAAGAGGAAGCTGCAAAAGTTATTCAGAGTGCGTTTCTTAACGACCCTGGAATGTGGTGGATGGCAACTGGACACACTAAAGACAATATTGCGCAACAAGAAATCGAACAACTCAAAGTTGCACAGTTTCTTTCGTTTCTTTCCGAGTGGGAAATTTTTCTTTGTAATAGAAAAGGTTTTGTACTTCTTGCCATAGAGTTGGAAACACAAGAAATTGTCGGAGTTTGTTGTGTAGCGGCCCCTCGAGGTGAAGAATCTTATCTAGACTATGTCGTTGGTTTGTTAACTATAAAGAGTACCTTTTGGGGACTTTTTAGTATGCAGCAGCGGAGAGCTCAGGCATTTGGTGCTTGGCAGAAAGAGTCAAGAAGACGCGCTCTTGAAAATAGTTTGCCAATATTATTGTCCATGATAGGGGTTCGACCCGATTTCCACGGAAGAGGAGTAGGCAAGGCTTTGTTGCAAACTCTTAACAAAGTTTCTGACGATTTGAAGACTCCCATTTACTTGGAAACGAGTGTGGCTCGCAATGCAGAACTTTACATGCACTTTGAATATCGCATCGTGGAACACTTGAAGAGGCCAGTCAAAGTTGGAAATAATGAAAATTCTTGGGATTGTTTGATTCCAATGATAAGATTGCCGTATTCATAATAATTGTATATAAGAGAGATTATGAAAAACTTGCAGAAACAGCTACTAGACTCCTTGGAACAGTCCAAGAATCAATTAGAAAGAGAAAAGTTGCTTATTCAGTTCGAACAGTCGTTGCCTCAGGTTGAAGGGGGAAAATTAAAGCAGTTATTTTTTCTCAACTCAAGACAGTTACAAGATTGCAATTGGAGCCCTTGGCTTCCTGTTTTTCACCTGTTCCTTGTTCAGGAAAAAATATTACTCTATGTCGCCTCCAAAGAAAGCATAAGAATGGAGTGGAGAACAGACTTGGTCTGCAAAGAAGAAAGCTTTCGCTTCAGTGAGACCTGTATTCGTTTGGCACAAGTTTCCGAAAGCAGACTACGAAGCTTGGTCGGAAAGCAACTCGCGGAGTTGGTGTCCATTTTCGGAACAGACATATTCACTCTTATATACTTTTCGGTTCTTGAAATTGCAAAGAAAGCTTTATCCGATAACTATACGGAGCCTGAACCGAAACCAGAAAAAGAAGGTTGCTTACAAAGTAACCTTTCTGTTTTGACTGAAAGTCGTATCGTGAATTGCCTCGAAACCAGCCTTGAAGCTATTGCAGCTATTCTCAAGAGTCTAGAAGGACCTCCTTCGAACAACGTTTCTTTTCAAAAGGAGCTTTTAAGTTTTCTCCATCAATGTTATGGCCATTCGAATCGCTTCGTAAGAGAAGCTTGTCAGCATGTTATGCATCCAACATTAGAAACATTCCAATCAGAGTTGGACAGTGTTGAACCTGAAATTGTTGACATAGTTGCCAAGATAATAGCATCTGGAATGGAAGACAACTGGAGTCAAGTTAGATTTGCAGCTTCACTCAATTGCAGGCTATTTCTACTATTGTTGAAAAGCAGAAAGTGCCAGTATTTTTCTATTCTTCTTCCTCGACTACGATTGAATTGCCATTATGCTGCAGAAGGAGTAAAATCATACAGTTTGGAGTCATGGAAGCTAATCTTACAGAATGATGGTCTAAAGACACTTTCTGAATTGGCAGAGTCATTTTTTGACTATTATATATCTCAAACTCTTGCAGAAAATCATTCCGTTCGAGAGGCAGCCTGTCATGCTATGGAGGAGGCAGTGGAAAGACTTCCGTTTGAGGCATTGGAAAGGCATATTAAAGAAGTTATACAGTCGCTGTTCTTTTGCATTCAAGATGAAAGTTGGCCAGTTCGAGATTGTGCTTCTGTGGTTTGTGGTAGTGTTACTGCAAAATACCCGAAGCAGGTACAGGAGAGTATCGAAATGGAAAAACTTGTTGAACTGTGGAAGAATGCATTGACAGACAATATTTCGAGCGTACGTGAAAACTCTGCAATTGCTTTGGTGAAAGCTTGTGAGGCTTTAGACAATCATGTTTCACTAAACTATGATACGCTATTTGAGTATTGTTCACAACTTATGCTTCGAGTGAAGGAGCAACCAAAGAATCCTGAAAGATATGGATTACGAAAGACACTCCAAGACACTCAGTTTGGTGCCGCTCACAAATTAGCGCATGACAATGACAGAGAAATCCATGTAGAACAAACTATGTACTCATGCGGTTCACTTGCACCCAAACTGAAAGGTGGTCATTCATGTGATCGTCGCAATCGTCGTACAAAGGAACCTTGGGAAGAGTCAGATGGAGGACTTCGCTTATGGAGACTTTTGTTTTTGAAAAGACCGAAAGAAGCGTGTGCACTCATTCCGTTATCGGTGGAGATCTTTGAACACCTGGAATTTGCAAAGGCTTCGTATTTATTGGATACATTTTGGTCAGTAATGGGAGATATTTTAGGGTATTTGGATAAGGAATCTGTTAAGCCCTATTTATCGATATTAATGGAACAAGTCCAAATTGCTAAAAGAAGTGAATATCCTGCTTTAGAGAAGAATGCACAAATAGCATTTAGAAAGCTAGAACGACTTTTGCAGTCGTAGTGCATACATTTGCTACTCGAAGAATCGCCTCTTTGGTTCACACTGATTCCCATTTACAAGCAAAATGAAAGAAATCAACTTCAACTCTTATCGGTTTCACGCATAAATACGGAATGTAAAAAACTTGAAGAATGATTGTGCTTAAGCCAATTATAGAATGCTTTGATATCTTCAGAGGAGCGCCTTTCAATCCATTTTTGTAATTTACGCCCTTCTGTTTCTGAACGACTTTGAATTCGAGCCCAAATTTGTTGGTCTTGTTGGGCTCTGTTCGACAGCCATTGCATAAATAAATGAATATCTGCCTCAGATCTACTTTCTAACAGTTTTCTCATTATTCTCAACTCTTCTACAACTTGGTTGGCTGTTGAACGAAGGTTTAATAATTTGGACATTGACTCGTCAAAGTATCCAAGACTTATTTCCATTTTTAGCCATGATTTCAGCGTTACCTGACACTTTGGAAACTCCGACTTTACACCCCAGTCATACAATTGACGTGCAAATTCAACATTACCTGCGGACTCTTCCATCTGTGCCCACGCATGTAACAAATGGCTATGTTGAGAGTCTATTTGAAGGCCACGCTTAAATAACATCCTCGCTCGCTCTCTATTGCCTTGTCGACACTCTAACAATCCATATGCTTGAAAAGCAGGTGCCGAGTGGGGGTCTACTTGTAAAGCTTTTTCAAACAATTCTCGAGCAAACTCAATGTTACCTAACTTCTCTTCAACAATAGCCCATGCTTGCCAAGAAGGACAATGACTGGGGTCTGCTGCAGTAGCTAGTCGAAACTTGTCTGTTGCTTCTCGAAGCTTTCCGTTTTTCTGTTCCCATACTCCCCATGCTTGCCAAAGATATGCACATTTACTGGAATGTTGCACACCTTTACAGAAAATTTCTCTAGCTTCGTCACTCTTTCCCTGACGAGTTTCAAAAACCGCATATGCCTGCCACGCTACTCCATCTTTTGGGTCCAATTCAACACATCTACGAAATATTTCTCTGGCTCGACTAGTTCTTCCAAGCTTCTCTTCCAAAATAGCTAATGCACACAACACATGAGCACTAGAATTATCTATTTCTTCAGCAGCAAGTAATAGGCGTCTGGCTTGTTCCGTCCTTCCTTCCTGAAACTCCAGTTTTGACCAAGCAACGTAGAGACGAACGTCTCCAGGATTCTTCTTCACACTCCTTTGGAAAGACTCTCGAGCCTTTAAAATAAGACCCTTTCTCTGCTCACTCAGAGCGTGAGAAAAATCTGAACAGCTTGGATACAGGCAACAAACGTTGTCTTTCGCCATCAGATCCAATTGAGCGTTACGGTAAGAGGTTTTCGTCCGTTCCTTTCTTAACTTACAATCTTCGTTTCTATAACTATTGCCCTGTCTAGTGTTTTCAAATTCTGGATATTCCATTTTCATGCAAAGAGTGGGAATGAAAAAGTCCACAAACTGACGTTCTCTCGCAGTCTCTCTATTTCTTTCTCGTCTATTCCTAGAAAAACTGGGTATATAACAGCCACAAAATCTTTTCCTATATGATTCTATACCCTTCAACTTTGCAGAAGAGTCTCTGGCAGTGACTGGTAATATCCAACACGAACTAGCTTGAACATTTATTTCAGCAAACATAGGAAAACAAATGCTTCCCAGTTGGAGGCCAAGTTTTCTTTATTTCGAAAGTCACGGATATAGGCAAGCGAAATATTCAACTCCAGATAAAAAATTTCAATAGCTCAAAGAGATATTTTGATTTGAGTAACTTGTCGTGAATGATTGGTTGGAATGAGAGCTGACGAATGGCTATAATAAAGTCAGGTCAACCGTTGTCTTATATTATAACTTCTTTTAGTTTGCCATCTTATCATTGTGCTGGGTGTAAAAATGTTCGTTTATTTGGGAAGAAGATTCTCCGTTCAACGGGAAACCGCGGTTGTGTAATGCAGACAAGTACTGTTCAGTATCCCGCTGACTCGGAAACCAAAGTCAGTGTTTCCAATATTGATGAACACAGTTCAAAGGTTTTGAAGGAATTTTCCAAAAAAGCGGTGAGAAACGAAGTTGAGGATGATGACCAACTTCCTCTTGTGTTTAACCTGCAAGCTATTACCAGCTATTGGGAACGTAGACAGGTTGAGTCAAGGAGGAGATATTTTGAAGTTGTCTCACGAATATTACCTTTTTTCATTAAAGTGTTATTGGAAAGTCGCTCTGGAAAGCTTCGAGAGACAGAGACCGAAAGAGCCATAGAGTTCCGTGAAATGTTGACCTATCTGGGACCCACATTTATTAAGCTTGGACAGTCTTTATCCATTCGACCAGACATGGTTGGACCAGCTGCAATGGAAGAACTTCAAAAGTTGTGTGACGCGGTGCCTCCTTTCTCTACTGATATAGCATTAGCAATGATTGAAGAAGAACTTGGAAAATCTGCAGATAAACTCTTTTCTGAAATTTCAGAGAAACCGATTGCAGCTGCTTCTCTAGGTCAAGTAGGTATTTTTTCGCTACTGTTTAAACTTTGAGTAATTTCTTTAGGTATATTACGCCAAGTTGAAGTCAACTGGTGAGGAGGTAGCTATCAAAGTACAACGACCAGATATGTTGAAGAAAGTAACATTGGATTTGTATGTCATGCGGAAAGTAGCTGCCATTATGGAAATTTTACAAGAGAAGTTGACAGCAAGTAGAGTACAATACAGAGCATTGCTTGACCAATGGTCGAGAAGTATGTATTTGGAATTGGATTATGTGAATGAAGGCAAGAATGCTGTGAGGTTTTCCAAGGGCTTACAGGGCAATTCTGACGTATATGTCCCTCGAGTATACTTTGAATATACTTCCAGGAGAGTTTTGACGATGGAATGGATTCATGGAAAGAAGCTAGCAAAGAGTGAACCTGCTGAAATTCGGAGATTGGTGACTGTTGGTGTCAACTGCTTTTTGAATCAGTTACTAGGGACAGGGTTTTTTCATGCAGACCCGCATCCTGGAAATCTTCTAGTCGATAACAAAGGAAGATTAGTTATTTTAGACTTTGGTAAGCTTGAAATGCTTATGTAATTGCAAATTCCTTAGTATTCAAAGGTTTGATGAGTGAAGTTGAAAAGTCTCAAATGGATCGAATGATAACAGCAATTATTCATTTAGCAAATCGAGACTATAAAAAAGTCGTGGATGATTTCATTTTTCTTGGATTTCTTCCAGACAATGTAGACAAAGGAAGGATAGGCTCTATGCTTGGTGTTGTTCTCGACCAAGCTTTGCAAGGAGGTGGCGCAAAGAATATCAACTTTCAAAAACTGTCATCGCAATTATCGGAAATTACTTTTGAACTTCCATTCCAAATACCTCCGTATTTTGCGTTGATTATACGAGCTCTTAGCGTCTTGGAAGGCATTGCATTGGTTGGAAATCCTCATTTTAAGATGATTATGGAAGCATTTCCCTACGTTTCTAATCGACTTTTAACAGATGATTCGCCTTATTTGAAACAAGCCTTGAGAGAAATATTGTATAAGAATGGACAATTCTCACCTAAGAGATTGCGAGTGTTAGTCGACTCTGCGCAAGGTTTTATAGAGAATGGAGAAGCCTTTGTCGATTTCGATACACCTCCAGAAGTGGTAAGCGTGATTATATATGTTTGTGTTGAAGTGTCACATAACTTGAGAATAGGGTGCTTCGACGTCACAGGTTTTGCAATTTTTAGTTTCCGATGAGGGTTCTGTTATTAGAAATCTTTTAGCGGATGAAATTGCCAATGGCTTGGATCTTTGGTTGCGTCACTTTTTGCAGCAATTGCGGACATCTTTGTTGGCACCATTCCCTGTGTCTATTCGTTCTTATATCCCACTTCCATTGACGATGAGACTTGCAGAGCCTTTGGAAACCAAGGACTATTATTACATGGAGAACATGCAACAAGCAGTGATGTTTCTATTAACAGACCGTAACAATGTTGGTAGTGAAACAGTGTCTCCGTTGATGTTGCAAAAGATTACAGCCTCGTTTATGACAGAGGAAGTTGTACATGTGTTGCCTCGATTGATAAAAGAGTCAGTTGGATGGAATCGTCGAGTGTTTCGGAAGTTGTTGGAAATGTACTTGAAACGACTTGGTGATGAAATATTTGCCAAATAGTAATAGCAGTATTAGAATTTTGTACGATATCGTTGTAGTAAAATGAGAGCGAAGGGGTACAAAGTGGGTTGCCTGTTTTTTAATAGAAAGTAGTAGTCTTTGTATCCAAGTTTTGCATAATTTGCATGCTCTGTTCACATTTTCTAGCTTCATCACGAACTTGTTGAAGTTTATCACGTATTCCTTTCTCAACAGCACGTTGCAACTTGATCCAGTAAGTTTCTCTGCTTGGTTTATGTACGATTTGTAACTGTTGTGGAGTGACTAGCTGCAGTGTGAGAGCAATCCATTCGAAACCTTTTTGTCTCAATACTCCATGAAGTGATTCGGTTGCTTGAATAAGTTTAACGAGGAATGAAAGACTTGAAGAATTCTTAATGCATTCTCGAATACATTGATCGGCGCAAGAAGCGATGACGAATATCGTATTCGCACAATTACGACAAAGAGGATCAAAGAATTGTAAAAAGAGAACATCAAAAGTATTCGAGTCTACATGAAAGGATAACAACTGAATGGTTTCACAAGTCTCTCGAACAACTATGGACCTTGTTATTTTCCAATCGTGATTACTCTTATCTAATAAAACATTCACTTTGCTGACTTACCTTCGGTCGTTGATATTCTTTTGAATTGCCCATCTTATATTTTTCAAAAATTCGCTCATCATTTCATTTCCTGCTGCACTTTTTCCTAACAACAACGAGCGAATCTTTCTCAAAGCCAAAACTCTCTTTTCCCATTCTTCTTCCATGTGAATATTTTGATTGATCCAATTCATCCAATAACGCAATTCCTTTTTGGTTTTAACAAATAGGGGCTCCACAATAGGTAATTTTGTTATATTATTCTCATCATTTCTTATTCTAGATGATGTAAACGATAATCTTCTCGTCAAACCAAATCCTCCATGTAGAGATACGTTACTATGAAATGAAGCATTATCCTGAAAGTAAGGATGTGGAGGGCATGTTTGAATGCAATCACGTTGAGAACGTTCAGTTGTAATAGAATTGGATCTTTGGTAACCACAGTGAGACTGTGCAGATCGAGCAGAAAGATTAGGAGAGTCCAAGAATGCATGAGATGCCTATCTTTCAAGTTTGGGTATCTCATTCAGTGGATATAAAGAAACATACCTCATTAGAATCTGTAATTTCATTAGTTGTTTCACAAAGAAATAGAATTAATATTACGAATACTTGAATGGCTTTCTTACCTTGTGAGTCGGTATCCTTGGATTCCTTGATCACATTGATAGATAGCTTAGAAGAACTGACTGTCTCTATAATGATAAAACAGTATTTGATACTTGTCAACATATTGGAATGGAACATACTTTGAAATTCTGTCAATTCTCGTGATAAATTACCCCAATCTAAGTTGCTTTCACTGGAATCTCTTGGCATGGAAGATGAAGATTCTTCCAAGAGAGTAGGGCAAGGAACAGATATAACAGACTCCAAATGGAGAGCCAAACCTAAGAACCAACATATGTAAATAAATAAATAAATAAATAAATATAGCTATCAACTAGAATATGTTGTTTGAAGAAACTAACCTCTATTGGCTCTTTGTCCACTCAACTCTTTTGCTATTTGTAGTGGAGAAAAAATATGGGAGGAAAAGTGTTCGTTTGGTTCTTGATTTTCTTGTTCTCTTATTCTCTCCAACCATTCTAGACAAGTTTTTGCCAATTTCTTTTCCAGTTCACTTGAATAGGATGACTGTTTTATCTTTTGAGCAACTTGTTGAACTTGTGACAAAACTTGCTTTAATTGAGTCAACAAGGTGTTTATAGAATTTCCATTTACAGACTTTTCAGAGTCTTCTTCTTGTTGTAGCCACAAAAGAATACTATCATCCATAGAGTCTTTGCCGGTACCTCGTACAAGTTGTGGATACTGAAATTCCATTTTCAAATTTGAATTACGACATTGGCTTAATGTTCTTTTGTAACTGTTCTTGTAAAACTCTGCCGATCAAATGCCTTCTCTTTTCAACAAATCTACAAAAAGAATGCAAAGCATATTCTATGTGATAAAATAACTACAAAGTACCTTTCTGAAGGTCGAAAATGTTTCATATAACCATCCCAAGGAACGTCCACGAGACCTGCCTTTTGACAAACAAGTCGTTTCACTCTTGCTGCAAAGGCTTCAGGAGTTTCTTCGGGCTCTTTGGTTTCCGGTGGAAGAAAATAAACATCGCAAACCAATGCCCAAGAAGTCATCTATGAAATAGATAGATAGATATACTCGTTATTTTATAAGTTTCTCAACTATCACTTACCAAACGAAACAGATATTGTAGAAAATTTTCTGATTTAGAGTCCCAGAAAGCATCACTGAACTCTCTATGATATTTGATAGCAACTGGATAAATAGTTGCATCCAGTTCAAAGGCACCCTTCTTAAACATGACACAATATTCATTATTCACACACTAATATGTCTCAATATGAACACTTATATCTAATGCCATGGACTTTGAATACTCACCGTTCCTTCAGGAAATATAAGAAGTGGAGGAACATATTCTAGTTTCAAATGCTCTTTTAAACGTCTACGGACCATGTCTCGATCACGCAAATCATCACGATGAAACCAAACACAGTGTAGCTCATCTAAAATATACCTTTGGAGAAATCCTACAAAGCCATTATGTAGTTGTCCAAGAACTGAAAAAGGATGTATTTGTAAAAGAATAGCAAAATCTAACATAGTTGTATGATTGGCAACAAATATCTATCCAACCTAAGTTTTCTATATCATTCCTCATTGACATCATACCTTATTGGATCCCTTTTTAGGACGAGTGCCGTGATAACGAACGACTCCAGAAAGTGACATAATCCAAGCACCTGCATACAACACCAAATATCGTTGAATAATTCTCTCTTTGGTTGCAGTATTCTACAAATGATTTGCAAAGTCCATGTTAGCATGAGTCAATCCAACTTACTCGTATGAAGATATGGATCAAAAACAATAGAACAACCAAAACCAGAGTGGAAGCTGTAATACAAACCACACGAAAAGGAAAAAGAAACAAGTAGCGAATTATAGCTCCCAATAACCAACTATCGCAATCCAATCAATTGAAATAGTTTTCCTCAACTATAAAACCTTACGGAAAGAACAAATAAAAGTTCCAATTCCATGGAAATTCTTTCTTTCTTTGAAAACATTTAGTAAAGCTATCATCCACCATATCTTCAATGCCTTCCATGAAGAATGGAATCACCAAACTAGAAACTGGAATTTCCAAAGTAAAGTAGTAAATACAACGAGAGAGAGAGAGAAATACCTAATTTGACAATATTAAGGTGTTTGGGTTCCTCCAGGTCTGAAAGCAAATTATTATCCAGTTCTTCTTGCAACTTGTGAAAGGATAACGATTCAAGATCTTCCGGGTCCTCTTACACAGTAAACTCAACTTTGATATCCATCTTGAAAGTTTGCTTACCACAGAAAAGTCTTGGAAACTAGAAAATACTGCATTTCTCGCCTTTTTTAGAGCATTGCTTCTGTCTAAGAAAGAAGAGTGATTCGTGTGAAAAAACCAAACTCTACAAGTATCCAACTTACACAAGTTACGACGTGATATTTTCACTTTGGAAGATTCTAAAGGAGTGGGCAAGTTGGAAACTACTTGTCTCATATCAGAGAAACGAAAGACTGAAGAGCTTTCCGTCATAGTATTGTTGGAATCTCCCATTCTTTTCATCATTTCATTCTTTATTCTTCATCCACTCTTTTATTCTACCCAATATTCCGGAATAGTCTATTTTCATCATAATAAAAATACAATTAAATAAACAACTTTCGACTCACCTTAATATCTGCTAGTCGAGCCATGTCTTCTACAATCAACTGACTGGACTTTCCTGTCTTGCAATCCAAATGCAGACGAACAGCAAAGTGTTCATTTTCCATCAAAAGATGAGACAACTGAGAATACGGCCGTGGATAAATTCTTACTAAACAAACAGCAGTTGCATCTCTCAACTCAAAAGTTGCCATACAATCTCCTCTTCTCGTATGAAATATTCTCAAATTCTGTAATAAACCAACAGCAACAAACTACTCATCTTTGTTGTTCACATGTACAACAACTCTGAATTGGCTACTTACTCTAATATTCTTTTCTTTCTTATTCTCAATATCAGCCAAAGTACTCCAAGCTTTAGAAAACATTCCCATAGCTTCCAATTGTTGACGTAACTGAGCATACTGAGCATCCGATAGAAGAATCATACTATCCGAAGGATGGGCATAACGAATAACATCCACCAAAGGACTATCCACTTATCAATACATACAAAAATCATATCCAATCTACTTACATGGGATTCAACAAATGATAAGCGTCAAAAAAAAGTTTGTACAAATTCTGCCAAGTAAAGCCAACATATTCCTTTTCATATTTTATCGCATCTGAAATACTTGTTGTTATCTCGTCTTTGGAAATGGTGGGAGTAAAACTAGTCAACTCCTCATTATTCGTCTTTCTCTTACTCGTACTCTTCCTTTTCATTGCCTAATAAGAAATATTTGATATGTTGCATTCAAAAGCAAAGAATATAATAATAACCTTTCGCTTCTTTTGTATAAACTTGAGAAGTTGCTCTAGAATATTCTTCATATAATTTCTATTTGAATCTATCTTATCTAAAGCACCAGATAATATAAGTGCTTCATAGGTACGTTTGGTAACTGCAGAGTGTTCTACTCGTGTACATAAATCTTCTAATGAAAGAAAAGGACCATTTCGTTCTCTTTCTTCAATAATTGCTTGAGCAGCTGCATGACCAACATTCTTGACAGAGGCAAGACCAGCTCGTATACCTAATCATATTCATTCTACTTATCTATGATAAGTATAGAGTCCGACTTACCCTTCATAGAAGACGTATTATCTTCCGTATATTCCACAAAACTTTGATGAATACAAGGTCCATATACAGCAATTCCTTTTCGAGCTGCATAAAGACTAAACTTGGATATCTTATCCATATCACCTTCATGATGATTAAACAATGCAATTAAATATTCTTGTGGATAGTTTGCCTTTAGCCAAGCAGTTTGATAAGTAATATATGCGTAAGCAGTAGAATGACTCTTATTAAAGCAATATTCTGCAAACTTGGACATCTGATCGAACAGCTCTTCAGCAAAGGAAAGGGAATATCCTCCTTTTAGGGCTCCTTGAATAAAATTCTTCCTTTCAGATTCCATTGCATCAGCCTAAGTATATTTGTATAGACAATATATAAACCTTCAAGAAACCTTTGTTGAACAAACCTTCTTCTTTCCCATAGCTCTCCTAAGAATATCAGCTTGACCCATGGAATAACCAGCAACTACTTGAGCTACTTGCATAATCTGTTCTTGATACATCAATATTCCATAAGTGCTTGAAAGAATGGGTTCCAAAATGGGATGCAAATATTCCACCTTTTCTAAATCAACTCCATGAGTTTTGAAATCATAAGCACAGTAAACGAATGATTACCTTTACCCAACTTCCGCTTAATATAACTAGGTATGAGACCAGCATCCAAAGGACCTGGACGATACAAAGCAATAGCTGAAGAAATATCTTCCAAGCAGTTGGGACAAAGTTCTCGAATGATTTGCTTCATTTTGGGAGAAGCATCCAACTGAAATACTCCGTCCACTTCTCCTTGTGACAACAATTCATAGGTTAACTATATATACTCTCAGTTCATATGGCAAAAGCTCTCTCTCTCTAAAACTACCATGAGCATTACCTTATCATGGGTAGGAATGGCATCTAAATGAATATTCGAACAAGTTTCTTTCTTTCGAATCAAACCAAGTGTTTCTTCTATAATACTTAGGGTCTTGAGTCCCAATAAATCCATTTTCAACAATCCAAGCGCTTCAATATCTTCCATAGCATATTGAGTAATAACCTATCCAAATTGAATCCACAATTCTATTCCCATATTGTACTTACTTCTCCATCACTTCCACGTGTAAGTGGAACCAACTCACTCAAAGGTTCCGGAGAGATAACTACCCCAGCGGCATGAACCTACAAATCATTACAAAACATTGGCCAAGATTTACTTTCAACTTACTCCATAACTCTTTGTAGTTCCTTCAATTCGTAAGGCAAGATCAATCCAACGGCGAATGTGATCATCATTCTACAAGAATATCGTATATAGATTCCCAATTCTCCCATACAAATGTAGCACTTACCAAATACCAATCTCGGAATACTTTGGATGGACTATGTGTAGATATCATTGCTTCCAATGAAGTAGGCTTTCCTCTATTCACCAATATCTCTTTTGAAAACTTTTCCGTCTCTTTGAATGAAAAACCTAAAACTCTACCAACGTCCTTGGATATTGTTTTAGAATTCATAAAGTTGTATTCTGTGATTGCCATACCTTAACTACTGCTCTAGAAGCAAGCTTATTAAAAGTGATTATCTGTGCCACATATTCTTCACCATATCGCATCTTCAAATAACGAATGATCTATAAAAACAATGACCAGTGTCACATTATCAATCTATGGATTGAAAACAGTACTTCATCCTTTCCTCTCATAGAAAAGTCAATGTCAATATCTGGCAAACTCATTCTTTCCGGATTCAGAAATCTTTCAAATAACAAGCCGTGTTTAATGGGATCGATATCCGTAATTCCAAGAGCATAAGCTGAAACACTAATGAAGACCCATTATGAAGTAAATATAAAACAACATACCAATAAGTGAACCTGCTGCAGAACCTCTTCCAGGACCGACACGAATTCCCGACTGCCTCGCAAATGCAACATAATCCCAAACAATAAGAAAATAATTGGTAAATCCTTTTGATTGAACTATAAAAAGTTCTCTTTCTACACGATCTAAATATTCATTGGGTATACAATGAAAGTCATGGACGACGTTGGTCATTTTATCAAAGGAAGAATTGCTGAATCTTCTTTTCAAGCCTTGAAACACCAAATGTCGCAAATATATCTAAATAAGTTGCTCAGTCCATATCTTTTCTCATTATGAAAACACAACAACCTCTGGTTTGCCTTGAAACTCTTCGGGTAATCTCATTTCAGGAAATCTTGTCGCTCCAAAAATATCGTAGTCTTCGATTCTTTCACTTATTTGAATGGAATTGTACAAAGCTTCTCTTATAACATGCAATGGTAAAATGGGTTCAAAACACTGAATCATTTCTTCAAAAGTTTTAAAGTATTCTGTTCCAGTATATCGCATTCGTTTCTCATCTGTCAATTTTTTAGCAGTCTATCATCGTTAGTTTCAATATTTCATAAAGTCAATGCACTTACTTGTATACACAACAAACAATCATGCATGTCTGCATCAGTTGCATAAGTAAAATGGGAATCATTCGTGGCAACAAGCTTGATTCCTAAAACTTGCGATATGTGATAAATACCGGGAAGAACAATCTTATCTTGTTCTAGTCCATGATTCTACAAAATAAAAATTAATATGTGCATATATTCCTCTCAAAAATCGAACAATACCTGGATCTCCAAGAAAAAGTCATCACCAAAGGAATCTTGATACCATTTGGCAACTTGCAAAGCCTTTTCCATTTCTCCTACAAAAGCAACATTTCACAATTACAAATATAAAAACTCATTCAATACGAACCAGCTAATATAGCTTGTGGAATCTCTCCTGCCAAACAACCACTTAAAATGACAAGTCCTTCCGAATAACGTTTCAAATAGTCTTTGCTGATACAAGGCCTCGCCATGATTCCCTTTCGTTGTACTCCTTTTAAATGACTAATGGAAGTCAACTTGGAAAGATTTCGATATCCTTCAGCATTTTTGGCTAAAATAGTGAGGTGATATCGACGCTTCTTTGCTTGTACTGATATATCACCGTTCAGAATATAACTTGTGAATATAAGCACAATTCTATTCAATAAAAAACAAGTTAAACTTACACTTCATTTCCAGCAATAGGTTTGATTCCACTTTTAAGGCACTCTTCAATGAGCTCCACTACTCCAAACATAACGCCGTGGTCTGTCAACGCCAACGCCGGACAAGACAAAGACTTGGCACGATGAACAAGATCTTTTACGTGGCTAGCTCCGTCAAGCAACGAATATTCACTATGTACATGCAAAGGCACATAAGTATTCAACTTGGTTACGTTGCCTGCATATAAAAGATCACGGGAACTACTGGCAGTACTTTTACTGGAATCGGTAACCACGGCCTTGACAAGCGTCTGAAATTCACGGCGTGGACAACAATAATAAAATTGCGAACGACGAAAAGAATATTTCAAAACCACACAATGCTTCCAGGGTACCAAGTTGTGAAATAAGCAGAAACATGTTCTAGGTTTCATGGAAAGATGCCGGATGAGACTCGTCACGAAATTGCGATGGGTAAAAATAACTCAACCAATAGGCATTCCCATTTTCTATGGTTCATTTTCAAAGTATATGCGTTTCATAAGCAAGTAGTACCGGAAGCAATTCAACCAAGATAGATACCGTAATTCTGAAGATCAATAAAAATGAAATATTTCGACTTCTATCTACTCTTTACTACTGGGAAAATGCTATTATTTTAGAATGCTCTACTGGCCTAATGGATAAGGCGTCCGCCTCCGGAGCGGGAGATTCCAGGTTCGAGTCCTGGGTAGAGCGTTTGTTTTGCTTTTTTGTACAACAGTGGTTGATTGATCTCAGGAAAAATTTTGTCCACTTGCCATGTTTGTATCTGCAAACAGAATTTCTTTATATTCAATTTTCATTAATACCAAAAGAGGTTCAACTGTACTTGCTTTTTCCTATTCTGATTCTATTTCTATCATACTCTTATTCTGCCAAATGTACTTCGTCCAAACTGGGCAATGTTCGCAAAGGATCTTCACTTGGTTTTCTGTTTACGGGATAGGCCTCCGTTTCATTCTTTTGTGACAAGGTTGAAACAATATTCTTGCTCAATTCGTTGGAATATACAGGCTTTGATACGTCTTCTATGTTGACTTCGTCATGAGAGTCATCCAAGTTGGAAACAATGGCCTCATATCTCTTCATTCTTTGTTGTCTTCTCTCACTAAATGTGCTAGGAAAAAAGTCGGGGAAGTAGCGTTGAATAAACGAGAATACTAAAACATGACCAACGGGAGTCAATGGAAGAATAAGGATAAACGTAAATGGAAAAAGAGTCAAAAGATCTCTTCCTGTACGTCTCAAAGTCCGAACCTCTCGAGGAGATAATGTGTAGCCGAATACAGCTCTACGAATCAGTCTACGCAAATAGTCTTTCACTTCTCATTGCAATGACACAAAACAACACTTACTTTACTGCATAAATGATATCGCCTCCCAGTAACTTGGTTCCTCGAGAATAAAATTCAAAGCCTTGCTTCGATTTTCTCCAAACATCGACAAAATAAGTCTGACGCAAATTAATAAATGTATCTATTCTCGTTCATTTTAGTGAACAAAGAACTTACCTGAAGTTTGTTCCATTCCCAACCACTTATATAGGCATCCGTTTCTAAACCAAGACGAGAACGTACATCTTCTACATTGGCTGCCACAAGTCCAAGCTCGTCATCGCTCACAAGTAATGCAACATTAGAGTCAGCAAATACACCAAGTCTGGCAAGTTGAATATCGGCATTCTCAAATGCTGCAATAAGAATCTCCTGTTCATTAAAGTCGTCCGAAAGTTCAACTTCCTGACGCAAAAGCATATATACTCGTTCCAATTCAACTAGCATAACCTTAATAGCTAATGTTTTCCTTATATTATCCACCTAAAACAACGATTAGTCTTCGAAAACAGCAAATGCGACACAACACAACCTTTTCATCCAAAGTTCTTATTTCCCTCAATTTCTTAAGTTTTCCTAGAGCATCTTCCTTTCTTAATATCATCTCTCTTGCTCTACTGGTATCTTGAAGTTCTTTCTCCAAAGCTTCAATCCTTTTTTTTGTCTCCTTAATACTCTCAGAATCTAAAACAAGACGTTTATCACGTGACACTTGGTAGCCATTTGTTTTCTGTTCAGCAGAACGTCCATTCAACCGTTCCCAAGTTTCAGTCATTCTATCCAAAAGCCACTCTATCGAAGCTCGAATTGCTACAAAGTCTATCGTTCCATCCGTTCTCAAAAAGCGGTCTGCTGCTTTTCTTATTGGAACTGATATTCTAGGCATCTTTCTTCGTTCTACTTGGCTTGAGTGATGCTCTGTTGTTTCCATCTTCTTGGATATCAGGTCGTGAGTGCTTTTTGGATCCTCCATATGAAAGTGATCGTTCAACACACGAAAAAGTTTGACTTCACAAGTTTGTAACTTGGCCAGGCAATTCATCGCCCTTTTGTCTTGTTCTGTTGACACTTGCTATAATAAACCCTACTTGAGTCAGTGTTTACTCGATGGGTTCCATACCAACCTGTAAAAGTTCTTTCCTCTTTTCTACTTCCTTCAAACAAGTTTTAATAGAACTATATAAAGCATCCGTTGTTGAAGACTCTTCTGAAGTGGTTTCTACACTTGCTTCTTGTCGTTCAGCAATCTTTTTGAAAATGGATTCCGTCTTTTCCACAAGTTTTTCTGCCAACCTTGTGTAGAGACATAGCTTCAAGTTTCTTGTTCTTTCTTGTGCTTGTCGTACCCTTTCGTCTAATAGTTTGGAGCTCAACTTTTCTTGGTCTTTTTCACTTGTTGCTGAGACTGGACCATAGTTGTTGTCTCCAACGCTGGAAGAACTAGGTTCCAACATAGTCACGTGAGTATGTATAGTGTAGTTTCTCCAAGTTTTTACATTATGGACACAAGTTTTACGAAAACAATGTGGTTGATGGACGAGTATTGGCACAGTCCACAGAAAACCTGTCATCCTCTTACTCATCGAAAAACAAAAGGGAGCCCCACTCTCCTCCTTCCATTGTGATATTTTTTATTCAAAGCGACTAGAAAAACTATTTAATAATATCCACCCGTTGCCTTGCCTTGTGCGTCCAATATACCTCTCCAGTAATTACTTTCAAACTCTTTAGCTGCATCGAGGTCTATAAGAGCCTCGATGAAACCGTTCATTTCTCTGACTGGAAACACAGACAAATCTTGAGGAACCTTCAACTTTCCCAATAAAGGCCCAAGTATGGGTGGATAAGGACACCATTTTCCAGCAAGCTTTCCGTCAGACAACCTCCAAGAAGTTCTATGTTGCGCACATATTAAAGTCCCACTACCAATCAGTCCTTGATCAAGAGGTGTTCCCAAGTGTGGACACACATTAGCAGTGCAATATACTTGACCGTCATAGTCACAAACTACCAACAGAGATTGACCAGCCACAAAGAAAGGTTTCAAGTCTCCCGGTTTGATTTCCTCTGTTTTGACCAACTTGACCCAGGCCTCGGTTTTCATGGAAATAGAATAACGAGGAGTGTTTGTCGTTTCACCAACCTTTGTAAAGGGAGCAACCACATAGGAACGATTTCCCTTCCATAGTTCAAGCCTTTTCAAACCAGAAGAAACAACAACCTTTTTGGTATATGTTATCTTTGAAGAAAAGCTGGTACAAGGTTGAACAAAGAGACAAGATTTCATATTACTTTCTATGAGCACAAGTCGCTATTCCCCCACCAACAGTAGGAAATAAGAATAAAGAGCTCAATATAAATCTCCTGATTTTCTTCAACAGAAAATAATGTGTGGTGTGGACTTGGCGAAACACAATTTCAATGTCATGTTGAACATATTTTGTAAACTTGTGTATAATAAGATTCTATATTCTATGAGTACTATTATTGAGTCTTCTAATAGACTCCACGAGTAGGAGTGTTGATAGCTTTGTGAACGAGATATAATATATTCAATCTACCTTTGATACGACACTGTTGTTCTTCTTCCCTAAAGCAACTTGTTGGTAGTCGGAGTGCCTTAACAATAGCGAAAATAATAAGCACAATAGTGTTCATTCCCATACCGACAAAGCAACGCTTTACGGAAGATTTTCTTGTCAAAGGAAGCATATCCGAATGTTACCAACAACTATATCAACCTATTCTTCCTAATCCATCAGTAAACCACCATTCATATCTATCACTTCTCCCGTAATAAATCCTGCAAGTGGAGAAATAAGAAAACGAACTGTATGCGCATACTCTTCTGGTTCACAAAATCTTCCTACTGGAATAGTTTCCAATAGTCTTTCCACTATTTCTGGTGGATAATGTTCCAAAGTGGGTGTTCGAAGATATGCCGGTGCAATAGCATTGACCGTTATTCCATCTCGTGCACTTTCTCTGGCAAGTCCAAAAGTAAGTGTCTGTAATGCACCTATTCCAAGAGAGATAGATATATATGTATACATATTCCTCATTGAGCGTTCTTATCCATATCTAAAACTATGCAAACCTTTGGACGTGGAATAAGCAATACCCGCATTGACTCCTCCCGTCTTTCCTGCTAAAGAACAAGTGTTGATAATTCTTCCAAACTTTTTACTTTTCATATGCGGCAACAATTCCTTAGAAACTAGAAAAGCAGAATCTACATTCTGAGCAAATATTCTCCTCCACTCTTTAGGTGTGGTATCCAATACTCCTGTGTTGGATAGAAATCCATTATTGTTAATTAATACATACACGGGACCAAACTCTTCTCCAATTCTTTTACAAGCCTCTAATACCGATTCCGGCTTACTTGCATCGAAGCAAATGGGATAGCACTTGGTTCTCGAAGCCAAGTTTCCGAGACTGTCTACAAAAGTATTCAAGGCCTCCACGTTGACATCATGAATAACCACCTTTTAGGCTGTCCCATAAGAGGAAACTTGTAAAACCCAATGGCCTTCTTACCCTAAAACCTTCCGATAACAACATCTTGACTGTTGCTTGACCCAATATTCCAGTAGCTCCGGTCACCATGGCAGTCTTCAGTTCGGGTGACAGTTCCTTTTCCATATTGCCTGATTGAGACATGATCTCTTGATAGCAGAAGAAATCTCAACTCTTTCTTGCCACTTTTTAGAGTTGATAGAAATGAAAAACAAATACAATGGACATGTTCAAACTATTCATTCACACACACACACACACCCAACATTTCCTCCAATCATCATCTTTGAAACCAAAGATATTTTGTTTATAGAATGAGTTTATAATAGTTTCAAGTGCCCAGTTACTTTATCAATAAGTGATACGGGTGCAGGCCCTAGAGATAAAACTGTAACAGAACCCGGAGCTACTTGTGTCTTTCCAGCATCAATAACAGTATGTGCCACAATACCTAGACTAGCCGCCTTTTTCTCCAAGCTTTTCATCTGTTGAATGGAAGATACTTGAAGTGCAATTTTAGGTTGACCATCTGCCTCCCATTTCCATAAATAACCAGGATTCGTCCGAAGTGTGTCTTGATAGGCCCCGAGAGTTGCGTGTCCACACTGTGCAGCTATTTTACCTTTTCCCATCTTCAAGTCCTAATTGAAAAAGAACAATAAGGATCATCTATGAGCTGAAAACTATTTATTCCTATTTAAGCTTACGGAACGAACGCAAAGAACCAATTTACAGTTTTCTTTACAAGTCTTCACTGCACCAGCGCCACTAGAGGCAGCTGGAAGTTCTGAAAGATGGTTCAAGGTAGGAGGAATCCAGCTATATTTTGGACACTTTTTCTTTTTTCCACGTTCTCCTAAAAAATAACCTGCAACAAACGCAAGTAATAGTTGAACTACAAAAGTCATCAATTCCCCCCAAATGCACGTTGATGGACAAGGAACTTTTAACTGTGCTTATCCCATCCATTCTTACAAGTTTCAAAAGTTGTAAAGAATAAAGAACCCATCAGTCCTAACTGCACAACACGAGGCAACACTCCACGAAAGAAACCAGATATGCCCTCCTTCTTAGTCATATCCAATATCACCCAATGAATATTCCTTAAAGGAACTCCATCACGACCAAAAGGTGAAGTCATCACTCTGGTTTTCACAACATCCAAAGGACAAGTCAGAAAACCTCCAATACTTGCAGCTAAACAACCTATCAACATACTTTCCAGAGGCGAAAATTGGGACATGGCAGAATGCTCCTAATAACCACAAGTGTCGTTAGTACATGAGCATAATATTTATATATAAAAAAGCAATCATAATACAACCTGGTTCCTCTTTCGACGCAACAAATCTTTGAAACATTCGTAAAGTGTCAATTCAATTACTGTAAAAGGCAAATCTCTCACAAGAGTTGCTGTCCAACCTAGATAAAAGGAACGAAAGCCTCTTTGGCGCCAACCATCTCGAATACAATGTATCGCACTTGAATACAATCCCGATTGAACCCTTTGTTTAACAGATTCAAAAGGGACGTCTACTCAAAATAAGCCAACTTGTATCCAAGAAAGACCAAACCACCTTACATATGAGAGAACTGGCCAGACCTGCGAAACAAGAGCACGCAGTATAGCCAAAAGTACGTTTCTCCTCTTTCAACTCCGCAACAAAATGACGCTTCAAGTGCTCGAAAAATGCTAATCTAACAGCAGAAGCAAAAGCACTTCCTAATACTATGATATGAAAACCTTTGTATAATTGACTTATTCCACGACAGCTCAGAACTAGAGCAGCAAGTCTCCTGATTTCTTTCCTATTTCCTCGTTCTAGGTGTATTTTTGTTTTCAAAGTATCTATAGGATGCAATACTGCTACAGCAGTGACTGCCGCAGTGGCACCTGCAAAAAGATCTCTTCCTAACCGTTGAGGTCCTTCACGGGATACGGATTGTGCCATTATCATCAACGGAAATTGTTGTTGTTGTGAAAAACTGAAAGGATGGAGTCCTCGTATAATATAGCTTTTGAGTTTGGTGAACGTGATACATGGGTTATCATAAAATGTAAAGATAGAAGTGGACTGCTATTAGATATTATTCATACCTTGGTTCATTTCAACCTCAGTGTAGGTTCTCCTTGTATATATGTACAATAGCTTGACTCTGTGTTAGATTCACTCGGCTGTTATAGAAACTTTACAAGATGGAACTATTCAGGATCGCTTTGGTATTCGTAGAAAGGAAGATGGTTCAAAAATAACTCATCCAGACGACTTGGAACCTTTGCGAATGGCTTTAGAACGAGTCATCGGAGAAAAGCCCATCCGCATCTTTTGGAAACATAATGTCGATATATTTCAAGTTTTGCATATCGTTTGTCCAGAAAGATCTCATCTTCTGGGTGACTTGGTATCGTTCTTGGAGAGTGAGCAACTACTGGTCAAGGCTTGTGAAGTGGTCTCTTCGGATAGCAGCGATATTTGGATTTGTTTTTGTAACCAAAATAATCAGTTGATAATTGATCATAATCATATCAAGCATCTTATAGATGGAATAATGGGCGTCATAGAAGACCCATCCAAAGTTGTTGTATTGAATAGAAAACACAAAGTTGCACAGTCCTTACATTCTCATCATCATGAATATGGAGGTCGTATTGTTATTGATAATAGTTCAGGTCCTTTTACTACAGTCGCTGTAAATACAGATGACCGTTTTGGGTTATTATATGATTTGGTTTTGGCACTGAGTCGTGGTGGTTATTCTATTATTTCAGCAAACATTACTACCAGAGAAGATATCGAGAAACCAGAAAGTGTAAAGGCATACGATATATTTGAAATATCTGATGGGAGTGGAGAAAAGGTATGCAATGACTTTGAAGAATTGAATCAACTACGTCAGTCTTTGATGGATGCTTGTACTCATCCTGCATTGATAGACCGTAGAGATAACCATATCATAGTGGAATTATGTTATAGTCAGCAAATGAAATGTATACATGGAATCACTCAAGGACTAAGAAATATGGGTTTAGCTGTACAGCGTGCTATGATTCGGTCGGAAAGAATTGCTTTTATTCATGACAAGTTGTACATACGAAAGGACTCTACTTCAGAGTGGGATATGGAAGAAAGAAAAGATATTGAAACAAAAATAACAGAGACTATTCTCTCCAAACTTTTGGGTATATCTATCTATGAAGTTGAACAAACTTGTCAAAATGGAACAATCGTAGTTTGATTCTTCTTTAGACACAAGGCTCTCCCGATAAAGGAAATAACTTGATTTGTCTTTATTTGGATACAAAACGGGGATTGTTGGCTCTTGATTCGTTTCTCAAGTTGCTTATTAGCGTCATATAAAGACAATACGCAACAATATTTATCTTGTAGATGCCTTATTCGCCTGCTAGGCGTTCCACACGAAGAAGTTCGTCAGGGACGCAAAGGAAGAGAGGCAACTCGTTGGAGGGAAAAACAAACCAGGCGGAAAATTCCTCCAACAGACTAGAGCAAACAAGTTGTAACAAAAAACCAAAAAAGTCATCCAAGAAAGGAGAAGACCCTTCTCAAAATTTATTGACTATGTTCAACAGAGAAAATTCCCCACAGACCAAGAATGACGGTGAAGTGATGATAAGCAACGGCAAACTACAACAACAAAGCAACCAAAGGGAACCCATTCACCAGTCTTTTTCAACTCCACAAAAGTCTTCAACCAAACTAGTGATACGTCCACTGGCTTCGGCGCCTGCAGTTTCCAAAAATTTTGCTGAAGAAATATGGATAAACTACCTCAAACAAGCAGTAAAAGCCATCCAAAACGCTACCAAAGTGGTATTCTCTTATGAAGAGTTGTATAGAAAGGTTGAAGACGTCTGTTTGCTCAAATGGGGCTCTTTTCTTTTTGAAAAACTTCAGGAAGAAGTGGAACAACACGTGGCCATACAAATCAACTCTCTTCAAGGTTACTCTCACGAGTCGGAAACTTTTCTTTATGGAGTAAGCAAAGTATGGGAGGAACACTGTAACCAAATGAAACTCATAAGAAGTATATTTCTATTTTTGGATCGATCCTTTGTCCTACACAACGCTCCAGTAAGATCACTTTGGGATATGGGCCTGAAAGTATTTAGAAAATATTTGCAACAAAACTCAGAAGTAGAAAAGAAAACCGTACAATCCACCATTGCTTTGATAACAGCTGAACGTAAGGGAGAAAGTATTCCGCAGGATCTTGTAAAGGATATGATCAGAATGTTCACAGCTTTGGAAATTTATGGAGAATCCTTCGAAAAGGCTTTTCTCGATGCTAGCAGTGAATATTATAACAATGAAGGAAATGTGTTGCTGCAACAATATGATATATACACTTACTTGAAACACGTAGAGATTCGTCTTTCTGAAGAAGTGAACAGAGTAGTCCATTATTTGGATAGAATTACGAAAGCACCTTTGATTCAACTTGTAGAAAACTGTTTATTGGAGTCGCACACTGTGGAGATTTTGGACAAAGGCTTTGACAATATGATGGAAGAAAATCGACAAGAAGACTTGGCACGTCTCTACCGACTACTTGCCCGAGTCCATCAACTGGACCAAGTTAAAAAGTATCTTGGCATTTATACTAAAAGTACAGGTGCTAGAATCATTCAGGATCCTGAAAAGGATAATGAGCTTGTACAACTTATATTGGATATGAAGGATAAGGTAGACTCCATTGTATCTAATTGTTTTGACAAGAACGAGACGTTTCAATACGCAGTGAAAGAATCCTTCGAATCCTTCGTTAACATGCGTCAGAATAAGCCAGCAGAGTTGACTGCAAAATATATCGATCAAATACTACGAACAGGTAATAAGGGCTATACAGAAGAGGAACTTGAGGGGACATTAGACAAGGTTCTTCAGTTCTTTCGTTTTATTCATGGTAAAGATGTCTTTGAAGCGTAAGTAGTCATGAAACGGTTTTGTTTATTACTGAATGTTCTCTCAATAGCTTTTATAAGAAAGACTTGGCAAAGCGTCTATTATTAGGCAAATCGGCTTCCTTAGATTTGGAAAAGACAATGATTTCCAAGTTGAAAGCAGAATGTGGAGCAGGTTTTACCAGTAAACTGGAAGGAATGTTCAAGGACATTGACTTATCTCAGGACATTATGAAGGCCTTTTATGAAAGTTTGGAATGGAAACATTGTGGCAATGAAGTGGATTTAAGTGTTGTAGTTTTGACTTCGAGTTATTGGCCACAAAGCACTTGTGGGGATGTGAAACTTTCGAAAGAGCTTTTAAAACTACAAAATGCTTTTTCGCGATTCTATTTGAACAAATATGCCGGAAGAAAATTGACTTGGAACCACAGCAATAGTATGTGTACTATTAGAGCTAATTTTCCGAAAGGTCAAAAAACAATTTCACTTTCTCTCTATCAGACATTAGTGTTGTTATTATTTAACGAGACTGATGCTTTGACTTTAAGGGAGATACATGAAGGAATTGGTTTGGAGATGAAAGAGTTGAAGAGGACACTACAGTCTTTGGCGTGTGGGAAGATTCGGGTGCTGAGAAAGGAGCCAATGAGTCGAGAAGTGGAAGAAGATGATATTTTTTATTTCAACAAAGACTTTCAAGATAAACGTTATCGAATCAAGATTAACCAAATTCAAGTGAAGGAAACTCCGGAAGAGAATCAGCAAACGACAGAGCGTGTTGTACAAGACCGTCAGTATCAGATTGATGCTGCCATTGTTCGCATTATGAAAACAAGAAAGTCTTTGACGCACAGTCAATTGATGTCAGAACTTTATGAGCAGCTCAAGTTTCCTTATCAACCAGCAGATTTGAAAAAGAGAATAGAAAGTCTCATCGATAGAGAATATTTAGAACGTGATTCGGATACTCCTCAACTGTATAGATACTTAGCATAATCCTAATAAGCAAAGGATAAGCTTTGTAAAACTGAAAAGAGAGAGTTGCTTTCAATAAAGGGCGGTCTTTATCATGCGTGTTGTTATGAAGAATGAGAATGTGATTGTTCAAGATGTTAAATCAGGATGAGAAGCGAACTTTTCGTTTAGAGAAGGAACAAGAGTTGAGATTTGAAGTTTCCAATGAAAACAAAGTCTATCTCACTCTTCAATCAGGCACAGCAGAGGTATTTGGTATTGAGCTTCCAAAAAAGAAGCCTGTAGAGCTCTGCGATACCAAACTTGCAGTCTTTACTTGGCAAGGTTGTGAGTTACAACTTCAAGGCATAACCGACTTGGAATATGTTGCCAACGAAACACCTATGCACCTTTATCTCAAGGCACACTATCTTCTTGACTCTATGCGTCGAAAAGCTAGACAGCAGGGGACTAAAGGGCCCAAGGTAGTGATAGTCGGTCCACAGGATTCTGGTAAAAGTTCCCTTTGTCAAGTAAGTTTAATGATACAATACAATCTTATCAAGTAACTGATTATTTCCAGATTCTCTCTTGTTATGCTATGAAAGGAGGCAAGAAAATATTGTATGCAAGTATTGACTTTCAACAAGGTAGTGTTGCATAGAACGAAGATGACAATTGTTTTCTCATTTTATTGTGGACAAGGCTCCTTCTCTATTCCTGGAGCTATTGGAGCATCCTCTGTGGAACATGCCACAATAGAAGATGGTATGATATTTGAAAACAACCTTGTCTATTTCTATGGTCATACAGTAGCTTCCGAGAACCCGAGACTTTTGGAAAAATTAGTCAGCAATCTTTCGAACTTGTTGGATGCCAAGTTGGAAGACTCTGAAATGGATCTGGGTCATATGGGCTTTATTGCAGACTCCTTTGGCAGTTTGGATGGAAGCAACTATGATGTTCTCAAACAAGTATTGAAGGAAATCAAAGTAAGAAAATGGGCCAAATGAATGAAATACATTATCAAACAATATATATATATATCTACATAGGCCAATGTTATCATTGTATTGGGTTCGGAAAGGCTTTATGCCGATATTCAAAGGGACCTATGTTCAGAACAGAGACAAATTATTCAGCTCCCGAAATCTGGTGGAGTATGTACGGAATGACTTTATTCGATAGGCTTTATCAAGTGCTTAGGTTGTAGGCAGAGATCAATACTTGAGACGGCGACTTCAGGAAATGCAGCTTCGTTGTTATTTCTATGGCTCAGATGGAAATCTCAATCCTTTCACAACTGTGGTTACTTTTGACCAAGTTCATATAGTGCGCGTTGGTATCGGACTTCATGTGCCAGCAACAGCTTTGCCACTTGGAGCACAGTCTACTTTGGATCCGTTGCAAATTTCGCAAGTGACTCCTTCCACTGAGTTACTTCATTGTATGTTGGGAGTCAGTCAAGCTGAGGAAGAAGAACAAATTGTGGACTCTCCAGTATATGGTTTTGTTCATGTTGCCAAAGTGAGTTATTTGAATATCCATATTTGGTAAAAAGTACTGAAAAGTATGTGTCACAAGGTGGATATCTCGAAAAGAACAATCTCTTTGTTGGCACCATCTCCAGGAAAACTACCTGGAAGCTTTCTAGTGATGGGATCCATTCGTTGGCTCGAGTAGCTTATATGCAAGTACCAAACAACTTTTGAGATGGATATATATTAGGCAACTTCTAAAAAGTTCAACTATTTTATAAAACACCAATATGAAACAAGAGGTTTCCGAAACAAGCACAAATGAAGCCAACCAAACCAATAAAAGTCTTTTGCAACTTTTTATATGGAGTTGGGAAGTTCTCTCTTTCCCAAAGTCTTCCCTATCCAGTACCACGCCGCCAACTAAACCAATAGTCAGAGCAAACAGAGCGATCTCTCTCCAGTTACAGACCTCTAAACTTCGGATTCCAAACCGAAAAGCAGCAAGGTATGTAAAGTCCAAAGTACGCGTCTTTTGTACAAAATCCTTCAACTCTTCCTTTGCGCTTTGGAGACGGCTAGGTAGCGCATTGATATGAGTTGCAACCAATTTTTTTCTTAGATCCGACGTCGTTTCCCAACCTTGCACAGTTTTGGTAGGGACGGCTTGTGACGCGTATCTATCAGCCAAAGTTTTTAAGAGTTTATTGAACGACATGGCCAAGTCTTCACCACCCCCAAAGAGAAAAATGCAATTTTGGCGCAACAATCATTACTAATCTTCCTCTTCTCGAAAACGCGGATTCTTCTCTGTTTGGAAAACTTCGTCAGTCTCATCTCTTTGGTGTTTGGTTCCTGTTGCCGCTCGAAAACTTTTTCTCTCGTTTCCCCAAAGCTGTGTACCACTATATCCACTCATCTTTTTCATAAATTTGCCATATCCTCCTCGTCCAGGATCATAGTCTTCTCTGTGTTCGTCTCGAACCTGTCCACCACTTCGTCCTCTACCAAACTGTCGACCTGGTTCAAAACCATAGTCCCAATCTGCTCGAATGACTCTATCATCCAACTTCGTTCCACTGATATACTTTATTGCCAACTCGGCTGACGCTCGACTAAAATATTCTACAAAGCAAAATCCACAAGGAGTTCTTCTAAAGCGATCCAGACCCATTATAATCCTTTTCAGTTCACCACACAGGGAAAATAATTCCCATATTTGTTCCTCTGAAGTGTAAAATGACAAGTTGCCAACGTACAAAGTTTTGGAGGTGGCAATACGGTGCTCGTATTCTTCCTATATTTGTTGTTCAACTCTAAAGCCTTGGTTTTTACCAGCCAACATACTTGTGTGCCTTGAAACCGTCTATCTCTATACAAAGTAACTGGTCGATCTTCGTACAAATATGCCATTCCCTTGTCAATTATTACACGACATTAGGATCTTTTTTCCCCAAGAAGAAACCAATCAAGCCCATGGAACTGCAACTCTCAAGGTTATTGACCCAAGCACTAGAACCTGATAATAGGTATGAAACTATGACCAAGTTCTTGTATTGATTGCCATTTGAAACCAACTGTTGCATAGCATAAGATCCGCGGCAGAAGGTGAAATATCTATCGCTGAACAACGAACAGGGTATGTCCTTGTTTGTCAAAAGGTTGCTTTTGTCTGAAACTTGCAAGTTTTTTGTCGTCTCTGTTGAACATTATTGCTGATAAGGAACATTCTCCTTTGAACGTGCGATGGCTGGCTGCTGTTGTTGCAAAGAATTCTATCGGTAGGACATCGTAACACACAACTGAATTCTGTTTATGATACGTTTTAGACCGTATATGGAGGAATACAACACTGCAATTGGTTTCGAATGAAGAAAAGTATTCACATTTTTTCTAACTTGTTGCATATTTATTGTACTGTAGAATATTCGTTAGGCAAAGGATTTTGAGTTTATTATTACAACAAGACCAGTTAGTTGCAACACAGGTAATAAGGCTTGAGCTTATTTCATTTTATACTTAATCTTATGCAGTTGTATTTATTACTTGGTCGGTTGGCAAGATTAGATTACCCCAAGGACTGGCCTGCCATCTTTGAGAGTGTCTTATCACTGCTTGAGTCGGATGAGACTGATTGGAAACGCGAAAAACTATTACAAGCTTTGTACGAAGTTGTGAAAGGAGTCGAGTCAAAGTAAGTTGATAAGTTTACAGAGAAGGAGGGCTCATCGTTGCTTGTATAGAAAAGTCGACCCATATTTGTTTCATCAAGCGTCTGTTTCCATTATTCAAATGATGTTTCACTTGCTACAAAAGCATCTGAGCATATCTGCAGATATTAGTTTGTAAGCACATTGTTTCTGGATCTATTGTTTAGTTGTCACATTTTTTCTTTGAGATGTACCTATATTGAAAACTTGAGCCAAGTCGAATTTCATAGCGTCGAACTTTGCCTCAAGATTCTAAGAAGAGTGGTTCATCGTGATTCTTTAGTTATGGACCTTCAAAAGTCGTTGGAAGACTTTATCGAATGGTAAATGATAGCGTTGTTCTTTACGTATGGACTCTTTATTATTCATACTTGCTATCTTTATAGGAGTTTGCAAAACCGTTGCTTGTTTTATTACAATGGGCAAGATTTTGGAAGAGCTCAAGTAAGACAAAAAAATGTTGACGATTGTTGAAAAATGACGAGTAGCCATTTAGCGAGTATCCTATCTTCTATGCAAATTTCTATTGGAGTCACAGAAGACGCATCCTCTTTTATTTTGCCACGTCTTGTCACCTCTTTTTGCAGAATATAGACAGCAATGGAGTAACAGTTCGGACGAGGACTGGGAACAGAAAACTTTGTCACAGGCAAGTGTTAACTTGGTGTCCAAATCCACTATCTTAAAATTGGTTTGCAGTGGTCTCTTGATGCGAAGGCTTTGGATATTTTCCATCAAGTTATGGAATGTAATGCAATATTCACGGTAATAGTGCAGGAACTCCTTCTGGAAATCACTTCTGATCCGTTGTAGAGTCGATCTTTTGAATACACGGAAGAGAATGGTCGTCTTCCTTGTGAGTTGCATGGAATGCATTACATAATAACAGATTGGTCTTTGGAAGAGTTGGAAAAGGGAAGAAGACAAGTTTTGCATTGTTTCACAGAATCTCTTGTCAGTAGTATTTTAGAAGTAAGTATGCTGTCATTTTTTATTCTGAAAACTCTCAAAAGCTCCTCTAGCTTATCATTCGCCGTTTTCTTCCTTGTTCGAAAGAAAGATTAGCAAAATTATTGCAGGAGCCTACTGGTTGGTTTCTTTTCTTGAACATCTTTTTAGGAATTGAAGAATGATAATGAAATGCTAGAATACGCGATGGAAGAAGAAGCTGCGGAGTTCGACGTTTATGATCCACAAACAGTAGCACAGGCAGTATGCATGTCATTATTGAGTCATTTTATGTAAGTTTGTCGTTTGAAAGTACGAAGCTTTCCTTATTGACAAGGGCCGGAGGGAGCCTTGTTTGTCCATTATCATGAAACTCTGGAACTATTCTAGTGATAGAGATGTTGTTATGTTGGATGTTATCTATAGAATATTGGGAGCTGCGGTTTTTGACATATTTGATAGAATAGATTATGAGCAGTGGATCGAGTTGCTTTCTAAGATATTCTCTCAAACGGCTTTGCAGGTAACATTTTAAAAAAAGACAACCGAAAACTGGGTACAATTAAAGACAATTAGAATATTTTGTTAAGGAGAAGAGCTTGTTTATTCGGAGCACAAGTTGGATCATTTCTTCACTCAGAGCAACAAGTTGTATTGTTTGAGCAGTTGTTGCAAATTTACCTGAAAGAGTCTAACATTGCAGTTTCTTGGCCTGCGTTGCAAGCAGTCGAAATTCTGCTGTCTTCACAGGAAGAGAGTAAGTTTTGAAGTAGTGTTTTGTTTTCACCTAACAATGTTGATGGCAGGTTCAGCCCTATTCTTTTCCATTGAACAGACAGTATTGGGATTGATGCAAAAGAGTTTTCAGTTGTTGCAACAAGCCACCCATTTATCCTTGAAATGTGATATTTTGGATGCATTGACGAGGATAGTAGAACAGTGAGTACGCGTTCACAATTCTTGAATATCTCATGACTATAAGTACAGTTTAACTCCATCTGTTGGAGAAAAACTTTATCAGTCTCTTTCCAATTGTATTATTGAGTTATGGAATCAATCAAGGTAACTTATAATGGATAAAGAACTTTATAGAGATGAAAACTCTATTTTAGTTTGATATCAGAACAAGATGAAGCATTTGCTATAAGAGTTAGAATAGTGGAGCTAATCCAAAGGTTGTAGATCTTGCTGATATAGAGTCATTCCTCATTTTTATCTAGTTTTATTGTTGCTTTCTATCAGTTTCAAAATTCAGAACAAGTTTCAGTTACTTTTGAAACCTTTTTGAAACAGCTGATATCTTGGTGTGTTCAGTTGGAATGGCGAGGGGATGGAGAACAGCATGAACAACTTGTTGAACAAGGTGCTATATTATCTATACTACCGGAGAAATCCAAGACTTAATCCTCTTTTTAGGTTTTCACTTGTGGAATTGTTTTCTCCAGTGTCAAACTCAGTATACACAAAGTGTACAAGAATTGATTCCAATATTAATTTCTCTCGCTCAACACACAACAGAATATGTTGGGTAAGCCTTAGTTTCTCCTTTTGTTATCTGCTTAGTTACTGTTCTAGTCACTATGTTTTGTTGATAAGAAACTATATCCAGTTGGGAGGTCGCTATTTTATTGTTTCGTATGGTAGGAATGTTGTTAGTATTTCTTTTTCTGTAAATATATTTCATTGTTTTGACTAGGGAATTGGCTATGTTCATTTTCATATTCATTATTAGAAATTATGAGAGACAGAGTTGTCATTCAGGTAGCAGGAATAGTGGATTCCGTCATCCTATTCCATTCAGAGGTTGTAATATCGATAATATCCAACTATTGTGATTTACATCTAGTTACAATAGGATTGGTCTCTTTGGATTCCTATTATAAGAACAATGATATCTTTAGTTTTAAACCAAAAGGAAAGTAAAGCAGTAGAGGCTACCTTCTTAGCAATCATATCGAGAGCTATTTGGATGGACATATCGAGATTTGAACGGGAAGTATTGGGAGAAGATTCTCATCGCTTGTATCAATTGGTTTATTGTATAGTGGAAAAGGTATATAAGTTTTATGGTTGGAGAACCTCAATTTATTTGGTTGGTCTCTTTCATAGGCTGAAAATGTTTACTTGCCACAAGATAGGAAGCAAATTGGTTTGTGTCTTTGTCGATTGGCAACTCAACGCAGTATATTTCTACATGTTTCTTTAGACGCCGTAAGACATATTCTCTCACTAAGTTTGCACAAATGACACTTCTAATCAAGGTAGTGGACATATGGTTGCAATGTCTGTCATCCTACTCAAGAAGCCAATATGATGGTTAGTATAGTTGATATTGATGCGACATATATATGGACTAAAAGAGGTTTTTTAGATGAAGATATCCCATCTTTTAGAAAGCTATATGATCCCATGTATCAACAAGATATTACATCGGTAGGATATTAACAGTGGATGATTTCTCTTGTTGACCGTTTTGAAGGAAATTCGAACGACTGTTCGACAATTAGAACAAATATTTACGACTTTATATCCCTCAATGTCCCCTTTTTGGAATGCTTTGGATAGAAATATTGCTCATACGTTTCGTTCTGCCTTGTTAGAAAATAACTAGCCTTGATAAAGTAAGAGAAAGATCATTCATGTCATGAGGTGATGATGGATGATCATTATTGGCTGATGATCCACATGAGACCAAGTTTACATATTCCTGCAACAAGTAAAAGACTTCTCTTTCATAGGAAGTCTCACTGGCAGAATGTAAACGGTTTTCTAAGCTTCACTCTATCGTTGAACTCTTGGACTTTCAAGAACTGTTTTCATTTTTGCCAAAAAAGAGCTACGTTATCTGGAAGCGAGAACACTTTAAGAACAGTTATGTTACAATCTGTTATGGGAAGAAACATTAGTGGTAGAACCAAGTACCCTTTGAGACGGAAAAGTATGCTCGGAGGTGGATCCTTTCACCTATTACATACGTTGGGTATTTCAGGTGGTGGCAACAACAAGAACAACATTCAACCTGGCTACTGGAGTCATTTTTCGTAAGTGTTGTTAATTGAAGACCTTGTGTCTAAAAGTATAAAGGAATGGTGATAGTGGGCAACTGTTTGCTGCAGAAACCGTTTATTTGCTCAGTAAGAAAAGTCGTTCTTCGTCGAGTCCTAAAAACAAACAAAGGTTGGTAGACAGTTAATGATACGTTTACTGTCGTTCGGATCGATTATTTTTTATTCCTTTTTTAGATGGAGTTGGACGAAAATACTTTTGGTTACGAACATTGTGGTTTTTTTATTACAAATGGCTACTGCGAACCAACTTTTGTTGATGGGTGCCAAGGTAACTGCACTATGTTATTCTTGTACTTCCCTACATTCCCTTGAAAGGTGAATGAGTTGATTTCCAGTGGTCAGTTGTATCGCTTATTGACTCCTATCTTTCTACACGGAAATATTGCACATTTGATGGTAAACTGTTATAGCTTATATTCTTTGGGTCCTGTTGTAGAAAGATGTTTTGGTTTGTATAGTTTACCCGGTACTTTTGATAGGTTTCGGAGTGATTTGAATTAGGTTCACACCGTTTTATTGGTCTTTATCTTTTTTCTGGATTTTTTGGATGTATTGCAAGTTTTTTCTTCTCAAAGAATCCATCTTTAGGTGCATCAGGTGCTATTTTTGGTTTAGTCGGTGGTTTTGCAGTTTATCTTAAAAGGTGAGTGTTTGATGTTTCATTCTAAAGTGTAGCAAGTAACAGACAATCTGTAGACATCAGTATTTACTCGGTGAAACTTCTCGCCTGGGTTTATTTTCTATTGCCCAGTCGTTGATTTTCAATATACTTATGGTATGAAGCCGTTATATGAATTTCGCTTGTTTTTAGTTGTAACCAACTGGTTAGAGTCTTCAACGAGGTTCACGTATAGACAACTGGGGACATTTGGGTGGGTTTCTTGGCGGTGTGTTTTATTCATACCTGTTTGGTCCAAATTTCGAAAGAAAACGAATAGGCTCTCGTGGGTTAGTAGTCAAACTGGTTCTTGTTTCGCAAGCTCTGTTTCCTTATCTTTTGTGTTTAGGGTTTACTTACAAGACAGACCCATGATCAAGCGATGGTTCTTACGGTGGAAAAAGAATCAACTGTAGCAATTGTTTTGGAATAGGCTCTCGAATCTTATGTTGTATCTCTCTACTTTTGTTTGAATATCACTAGTATATTTGGTTTGGCAAGTGATTTATACAAGGTCGTATTGATAGATAAAACCTATAACAAACCAGTCTTTATATATATATATATATATATATATATGTTCAACAAGTGAAAATAATCTCTCTATATTGTTCTTTATTTTCCTAAAAATAGTTTGATATTACGAAATGAGAACAATCGAAGCAACAGCAAAAATGGAATGACGTGTTGTTCTCAAAAGATGCTTTCGAATTCTTTCCATTTCAAAGAATTGGATTCCGGAAATATGCGCATCCTCCGCGTTGATAAACCTCCGACTTTAACAAGATTCTGTTTATTTCTTGTTTGTCGATAATGACGTCTGCAGAGTTGAAGAAAAGCATGGAACCCGGTGAACAAAGCTATATGCTTTGTCTTTTTCCGGGGAGCTTTCGAGCCAACCTCTCACCTCTCAAGTTGCGCCTGCTTCCAAACCACGATGGTTTAGATGATTCCTCTTTGTATTGGAAGGTATTTCTATAATTTGAAGCAACTAGTCTTTTTCTCACTTGTTTAGTTGAGAGGGCCTAATGATGCATATTATGTGAGCCACGACGAGTTGTGTAGCAAACGAGGACTATATTTTTATTCCTTTTCAGACCAGAACTTGGAGAACCTTGACATTCATATAGATATTATAATGGGAAAGGTTGACTCGTCATCTTGTTGTGTTGTTGGACAATGTGCTTTGGTTTCCAGTGAGTTTATGGACACAAAAGGCTTGATACGGAGGCCTCTAATTAGCAAGGATATTCTTATCGTTGGAGAGTTAGTGTTTGAATATCTCATAGTGAGACCCTGGTTGCCTAGTGTAAAGAATATGAGAGAATATTTATATGCTATCAAGTTAAACTATACTCTTCCACTTTTGGTGGGTCATCGAGGGAAAGGAGCTCATTCAAAGTCTTATGTTCAGGAAAATACGCTATTAAGCTTTCTATCTGCAACTCGTGATAAAAGAGTCAAGTTCATTGAGCTGGATGTTCAGTTAAGTGCAGATGGTCACCCCATAGTGTTCCATGACTTTTTGATTACCCGGAAGACACAACAACTGGACTTGGATGATATGGATATCCGAAAAGTTGAAAGATATCCAACTATTGCAGTTGGAAGCTTGTCTTTGAAAGATTTTCAGAGAATGGCTATTTATCGTGAAGGTGCTGCAGTCACTTTTTATGATAGTGATCACGAAACTCGAGAAAGTAATGGCTATCACTTGCGTTCAAAGACAAGTCACGGAGGACGAAGAAATGGTACAAGAAGCCATTCAAATTCATCAAGTCGTTCAAGTTCTATCACTTCGGATCTATCAGGCATTGCAAGTCATCGAAGTAGTGACTCAGATAGGGACGACATGGATGAGATTCCAAGTTTGATTGAAGATCATTTGCCTTCACTGGATGAAGTTCTGATGAAGATGCCTGTTGATGTTGGTTTCTTTTTGGAGATGAAATATCCTTGTCCTGATTACCAGCAGCGTAAGAAGTTGGTGGTTCCTGATCGCAATGTTTTTGTGGATGCTGTTTTGGATTGTGTGTGTAAAAGTTTTGTAGAGAAAAAGCAACGGACGATTGTTTTTCTTTCATTTGATCCTGATATTTGTTATTTATTGAAATGCAAGCAAGAATATTTTCCAGTTTTGTTGCTTTGTTCGGAGACTCGTTTCTCAAGTGACGATCATTTTGACCTTCGAACAATGGATATTCAAAATGCGGTGAACTGGTCTATTCATCAAAAGTTAGACGGTATGGCTATTCTATCTGACATTTTATTTGAGAAGCCGAACATTGTATCGGAGTTAAAGAATAATGGATTGAAAGTGTTTTGTTTTGGAGCTATTACTTCACAAGAAGACAAGGCCAAGAACCTCATTAAGCTGGGAGTGGATGGTCTTATTGCAGATAACGTCACTTGTCTTGCCAAAAAACTTTGTGATATATTGTAAAGAAACCTTGTTCTATTTGTTACTTTGTGCTATTGTCCAATTTTTCACTTGCAAGTTGTCTAGTTGTTCTGGATAATTCGTCTCGAGTGTTGGAGCTTGTGGAGTAGGAATCACAGACAATTTTTTTTGTATTGTCCATTGTTGGGTTATCCATCGTGTTCCTATTCTCAACTTGGTATATTTGAAATACGATTGCCAAGTTTTCTTACTGGTTTGTTCACCGTCACCCCAGATGACGGCTAAGCTTTCAGGCGTCTTCCGTTGCACTAGTTGGAAAGTCTCATTCCCAAGAATACCCTCATAGTTGCCATCTTGTAACTCTTTCCATTCTATTTCCGTACATTTATGCTTATCAACGTCAGGTATTCTTAATAAAAATATTTCGTAGTCATCATTCGATAAAAGAGGCCAAGACGACGATTCCATTTCTTCACACACAAATCTGAAAACAAAACAAAGACATTCACTCTTTATTATTTCATAAAACTTTACTTAGTTGCTTCACAAGGACACTGCATACCCGTACAACCACATTTTCTTCCTTCACACTGCGCACAACACTTTACTAGTGGCTTACACCTTGAACAACCACAGTTGGTCCCACAACGACAGCTTTGGTTACTACTACACTGAGAACAACACGCACAAGGTTGGCTACAACAAGCACAATTTTCTCCACACTTGCAATTAGAAACACAACAACGGGCACAACAAGGCATAGTGATGATAACAGCTGGTATATCTATGTGCAACCACACACACTGCAACTCAAATGGATATCAAAATCTTGTAATAGTTTCGATGATTCACACAAAATAGGAATAATGTAGTTGCATTGTTTGTAGTGATTTGATAAAAGTTATGAACACTTTTTAAAAGAATAAAAATCACTTGGTATAGTCGTCGTCGATGATGATGATGGCAATGGATCCCGTGTGGATATCAAGTTATACTTCCTTTATACCCTTCACTACTACTCGTATGAATACTCAAGTGTTTAGCAACTCCATTTATTCTAGACGCCCCCTATTCTTACAAACTAGATGCATGGGATGCTATTCATTACGAGTTGCTACTCAAAAGTCGAAACAGTTTTTGACTCGTTCCAAGCCTTGTTACCGACCCAAAAAGTGCTTTTCACTTGTGGCTTCTGAAATACCACCGCAAAACAAAAACTCTTCAGAAGCACCTGAAGAAAACCAACAACCTTCTCAAGAGCAAGAGCAGTCAACCCCAGAAGAGTCTCCAGATATCCTTCAGTCTCCAAGTTTCCTGAAAAGAAAATTGGAGGTAAGTTTAATACTCTTTATGAAAGCTTCTTACGCAGTTGGCATAGTTGGTACAACAAGAGCTGGAAGAAAGCAAAGCAGAAACGTCCAAGTGGGAGAAACAATACCATGATCAGAAAGAAGCCTACATTCGGTTGGTTGCGGAGTTTGAAAACTATCGCAAAAGGATGAACAAAGAGAAACAAGATATTGCTGAAGTTACCAAAGCCAATGTCATTCGGGAGTTGATTGCGGTGTTGGATAACTTTGAACGAGCTGCAGCAGCCATAATTGTCAACACAGAAAGCGAGCAAAAGATACACGACTCTTATCAAGCACTTGCTAAACAGTTGTTGGATGCGATGATGAAGTTGAATGTGGAACCGATTGATGCAGTAGGTCAACCTTTTAACCCCAATTTACATGAAGCGGTCAACCGTGTGGACTCGGAAGATCATGAAGAAGGTATAGTGGCTATGCAGTATCAACGTGGTTATAAAATAGGAGAAAGACTGGTGAGACCAGCTCTTTGTGTGGTTTCTAGTGGACCTGGTCCCCACAAAAAGGAACAGCCTAAGAAGAAGAAGAAGGAAGAAGAAGAAGATATCACAACCCAAACTTTAGAAAATGGTGTCAAATAAGAGTTACTGGTTGGATGATATTTGGTTTTGTGTTGAAATAAACAAAATAGGAGGTTTTAAGGTATCTTCAAAATGGATCTTGAACGTATGGTTCTTCTTTATGGTCTCTTATTTCAATAACTCCTGCCAATTTTCTCCATCTATTCTTTCTTTATCGATTGGACAACAGGCATTTTCTATTAGCCATTGTTCAATACAAGCCTAAAACAACGACACAAGCTTCATGAGTCACTTCAAGTAGAAACAAATGTATGCTTACTTTATGATAAATGTGATTGCAAGGTAACCTTTTCAAAGACTCTCCAAGCACATAATCATCCAAACATATACAACACTGCTCCACAAAACTCAGTAACTACTTTTTGTATCATTCCATCAACAAGTTACTTACACTCTCTCCCATTTCAGACTCGGAAACTTCAACACAAGGAATGCTATCAATAACACTCTTAGATGCCCCTCTCTTATTTTCCACTTTTTCATCCAATTGAAGCAACATTTGATAATCATCAGCTGTAAAGTCTCCTTCATGAAATGACAAAAGTAACCACGGATTGACTTGTCTGAAATACTCAATCCAAGCATTTAAAGAACGAGAAATAGAACGGGAAGACGAAGGTCCTCCACTTAATATACGATTTCTTCTCGTTGAAGTTGCTTGTCTCAGTCCAGAAGAAGTCTGTCTATGACCTGATTCACGACTCAGTGATCTTCTCTCTGCTTCAAGTATCCTTCTTTGGATATTCATACGAGGATTTGTACTACTTCTTGTAGTGTAGCTTCGACCACTTCTTGTTTGAATACCAGAAGTACTTCCCGTGTCTCTCGTCTCTCCAACGTTCTCAACAGGACGATAACGGTACTGACTATTTCTTCGATAATACCTTGGTATGTTATCTCCCAAAGGTGGTCGTTCACTTCTTGGTTCTTCCGTGCCGTTCCAGTCACAAGAAACACCCATCCCTGCACTCCTTTGAGCACTGCAATACAAGCTGCTTTCACCAAGGCTTTCTCTTCTCCCACTTTGTTCCAAGTTCCACGTATTTTCAGCAAGATGTGGCATTCTTTCTGTAGATATGGCAATAGGTCGACTTGCTACAGTCGACGAGTCCAAGCAAGCTGCTTCAACTTGTGTTGCTTGCAATAAGTTTGAACGTCGACTATTTGGTAGTGAAGTGGTAAGATTATGGGAGCCTGGTTCTTCCACTGTTTCCGCAAAAGAGCTCTCCAAACTACTTGCGACTCTTCTGTTTGGCTCTTGTGAGGGACACGATGATGAGGACCTGTCAGGAGTAAGGCTAGTTGACCATACGTTTCTAGTAGAGCTCACTAGCTCTGGGGAGTTGTCCGAAGAACTCACCAAGTCAATCACTTCTTCGTGAGGTCTTGTTTTGGGAACCCTTCTTCGTTTGGCTCTACTTGAACTCATGGCCAATACGACAACACTTCTTCTCCCACCACATCATCCATCCGAATGGCACAAGCCAATCCTTAAAAGCCAACGAGTTGAATCATGATTCGCTTTTCTGAATATTCACAGAAAGAGAATACCTTCTCATATCTCGTATAATACTGTAGCATTCATTTATTCTCATACTCAAATAGTTACATGTGGATTGTACAAAAGTGTTTCATGAGATTCAAGGCCAAGTTCCTTTCATATCATTTCAAAAAGAGAATTGAAATTTTCCATGAAAAGTTGTCGGTAAAGAGGACTTGGTTGACACAAGCTAACAAGCTTTTCTTTTCCTATTGGAATAACCGTTTTCAAAAGAACCCCTTTTCTCTCTCTCTCTCTCTGTCTCTTTCTTTCTGTATATATATATATATATATATATATATATATATAATAGATATGGAGCGTTCAACACACTTGAGTTCTCAAACTCTCGGTGTTCAGACAGAGTCACAAGAAGAGGTGGAGCAGCCGTTGGGGAGAGAGTTTCGCAACAGTCGAAGAAGAGCTGCTCTACACCCTCCTGAAGAGGAGGAAAGAGAAACTAGGCGCTTACGTACGCTGTCACCTTCCCCTTTTACGGAAAACAATGCGTTGGGACCCACAAACAACCATCTTTTTCTCTCAGGACTTTCTACAAGATATAGAAATAATTTTCGGTCAGAAAACAGGCGCAATAATCTTCATTGGAGAAGTAACTTATCTGATACTGAAGGTACCAGAGAGTCACGTGGGAATGCAGAAGAGGAGACTATTGACGTGGACCCCTGGTTGTCCTCACGTGATGGTATAGAAATGGAAGAGCGAGATAGTCATTCAGAAGAGCACTTTGAAGGAAGAAGAGCTTTATGGAGAAGAATAATTAGTCGAGCTCCTTCGTATTCTAATAACAGAGGCTTAACTGCGTCAGATACAGGTCCCGCAGATTTGGATCCTGAAGAGTATTTTTATCATCCTACATTGTTTAGAAGTAATTCCACCGGAAGAAGTCGGCCAACGAGAGCGTTTCGTTTTTCCAGAGAGGAAAGAGACGATACTTTTGAAGCTCCGACAACGGAGACACGTCGAATAGGCATGAATGGAACTTCTTTTTTCAGTGGTATTCCTTGGGAACCAGACCGACCTTCCAATACATCCCTGAGAAACTGGTCATCCAGAGCCAATATGACGTCTCGTTTCCAGTTGTACGAAACAGGAGTACAAGAAGATTTGTTATCCAGTGATAGTTCGGATAATAGTGACCAGGAAATATCAGCACGTCCTTCAGGAACTCGCTTTATTGTTCGTTTTATGAATCGTAGTCAAAGAACAAATGGACAAGCAGAAGATGACGAAGAACAGTATGATAGGATAAGAATATCTACTGTTGTTCCAGACAATAGTAGAATGATTCATCCAACCGATTCAACACAACAATCTCCTTCCATTGGAATAATGACGACGACAAGTACATTAGAAACTGAAGAAGAAGAAAATGTCGAATGTTCCTCTCGACTGCAATTCTTATTGGCTACAGATGGACCTGAAGATGGTCGCACGCACAGATTAATTATTTCTCGTTTCGGTTTAACTGGATTGATTTTATACAGAAAGTTATTGACCTGTGGGCCTTTCTATCCTCGTTCTCCTGCTCGACTTCTAGTACATCTTGCTGGATATTTTTTATTCTTCAAGGATAATTCCGTGCTTGCTTCAAGGACCCATACAGACCAAACATTCCTAGGTCGTCTTCTTGCATTGGATGAGTCAGAAGCTGGACGACTATTCGATCATTTGAAGACACGGGATCCGATGAAACTATTGATGGAACGATTGCCACCATTTTCGTTGTTGAAAAGAGCCATTAAAGGCAAGAGACCCTTTTTCCACAATGGACGTGAAGCATTGGTTATCAAATTCGTTTTGGATATCTACGATTACTACTTTAAGCGTGAAGTTCCTCTTTTTGAAACCTATAGGAAAAAAGTACTCCCATTGTTGGAATTGTTCTATTCTCATATTTCCCAAAGTGTTTTAGATAATGTGTGTTATCAACAATCCAAAGTTTTAGATAGAATGAAATGGGTAACGGACTGGTCCACTTTTGGAAACAATGCTTGTGAAGATACTGACTTTTTAAAGGAGTTCTTATTCCTTCCCTCACGTGAAAGTTATATCGAACATTACAAGAATATTTCGAGGCGAATGCGGAATCTGACAGAATCCTTGGCCGTTTCCTCCTTACTTGTTTAAATAAAGAAACCTTTTTTATATAAAATTGTTCAACAAACAAGCTTTTATTACGAAGACATGGACTTGATCCACTCATCCGCAGTTAAGACATCAGCTTGACTTGGAAACACGTGATTCAAAAGGGCATCATGCACGACATCGTTGCCATCTGCAACTCCATCACGAATAACGGTGATTTCATAGTCGGCATCTGCAGCCCATCTCAACGTGGAAAGAATCACTCCGCTAGTAGCAACACCACACATCACGAGATGGGTAGCTTCCAACGCTGACAAAATGGTTTCCAAATCGGTATTGAAATGAGCACCCACTCTTCGCTTGGTTACCATGTATTCTCCTTCTGTTGGTAAAAGTTCTCGAACGTGCTCACTTCCCGGTGTACCTTGTATCAAAACAGAGCCCATTCCTTCGATACGAGCAAATGCTTTGTTGCGTTTGGATATTTCGGGGTACCTATTTCATTCCACTTTATAAAACAGTGCAATCAATTCCTTCTCTACAACTTGCCCTTTTCGAAATCGAACTCCAACGTGGATCACTGGAATTTTTTTCTCTCTAGCAAAGTACTAAGTTGAAGCAAGTGAATACAGCACTTGACAAGAAGATCTTCACATACTAAGGCTTTAGAAGCACCTCTTAAAACAGATTCCTTTTTTTCAGGTGAAATAAACCCCATAATGTCATTTTGAAAGTCACACAATAAAAGTACTGGTTTCGATGCCATCTCCAACAACAATCTTTCACTCCATTTCGTTGATGAATTCTCTCGACTAGGTATTCACTGAGAACCATTGGACAATCCCACTGCCATTCCTCTTCTTCATCCCTTCTTGAAAAGTGTCTTCTTATCCAATGATGATCATCTGTCTTTTCTATCCCTTTATCGCTTACTTTTCAAGCTCTTGCCAAAGCAATTTCCGTTGTTCAGGAGTAAGACAAGTTTCTTCATCGAATAACCGATTCAACATAACATGCAAAGTGACTGGCTTTGTAATAAAGCATATAAAGAATAATGGGTTCCCTTTATCACCTTGCAATAGACAAGTTGTTTCTTCATTCGTCGTTGCTTGTTTCTTTGTGAACATGTTCAACAACGCAAGGCCCTCCAATACTTTCTGGTTTGAGTGGGAACTTGTGCAAGATTCCAAGCAAAAATACTGGAGCAAATCAGGCATAACGACGACTGAATCTGAAGAACAAATTAAAGGTGCCTTAACACAGACTTGTAAAAAATCATCAACGTCCCTCAAATACCTTGTAAAGTCAGAGGGATCCAAGGCAAGCAAGAGCATTCTTACAGAAATACAATATTTCGAAGCGCTACAACGCAACGAGGATTGCTCAAAGTGACCAAGGCTGCCTCAAAGTCTTTTTCAACCTAGCAACCAGTTGAGTAGATGAAATTTTCTTGAAAGTGTCTTACTCTTTCTTTGTCACATAAATAGGTCACTTTGTAACTAGAAAGTGCAAAATGAAGAGCAACGAGAAATCCAACCGAGACTCTTTGCAAAGTAAGAAGACAACCCATTGTTGAGGACTAAAAAAGATCTTACTTTCGTTCTTCTATTGGGTCAGCCAATACCAACAAAGACTGGTGACACAAACAAGTTGGAAAAATATTTGGCGCCATTGGATGAGTCCAACAAGCATTTTTCTCTTTCTCAAACGTTATCCTCAACAATTCTAATGGACAACATCTTCTCTCAGCATCTCAATCAGTGAAATATATTTCCATTTATTTTCAATGAAAATGATTTTTTGGGTCACAGTATTCTAAGAACAATCCCAGAATATTATCTACAACATGCTATGAGTGCTATTTTACAACCTTACTCTATCTTGTGTACCCGAGACTCGCTTATGATTGATTGGTTCGATATTACTACCAATAGGAGTAATTATGGAGGGCTGAATAGCCCTTTGATATGACTCAAAGCGCAACCATTCTTTACCAAGTGGCATTTTGGTCGTCCTGTCATATTCTTCTCTCGACTTCATTGGTGCTGGCACAAATGGTATTGTTAGGGCAGCAGTCTCCTTTACTCGCTTTTCAGATATGATTACATGTTCCAGTCCTCGTTTGGAATCTTTTCTATTTGCCTTTGCTGCCTCCTTCTTTTTTTCATTTTCAAGTCTTACTTTTTCTGCATATCGTGATGCTCGTGGTTCTTTGATACCAGCACCACCCCAGTTACCCCAACCAGGCAATACCAAAGTCTCCGGTTGCTCCATTTCCAGTTCCTCTTCAATCTCACGCTCCTTTTCTCTTTCAAAATCATTGTCCTCCGTTCCAGCTTCAACAAACGCTCTTTTCAAGTAATACTTGTTTTCGTTTGCATCTGAATTTGTAGATATCGAGTCATCCTCCGACTCATCTTCTGCCAAATGGTTTTCATTATGTTGTTTCTCCGGAATGAGGTCTTTGCGTGTCTTTACTGAGCTTGTTTGCAGAGGTTCCTTGTGATGATGCTCATTCTTGTCGTTGATTTTCTCATGATGATGGGTAACTAGTGATTGGTTGTTACTACTGACAGATTGCTTGTTTTCCTCATTATCCAGTGATATTCCTGTTAGCCAAGGATTGCCAATTACTCCAGGCGATGGTTCAGCATTTTTGGTATTTTTCACTGTTGACGTGACTTCTATATTCCTCGAGTCAGAACCTTTGCTGTCTGTACGAATAGTTATACGACTCGAAGTGGCAAAAGTAACATCTCGAGTTTCCATGGCCATGCTAGACAACTTCTTAGAGACTAACAAAAATATCAACACGTATTATCAAAAAAATAAGTAAGTACAACCTTGACTGGGATTCAAAGCAATTCCGTTCTCTTCACTAGACCGATTATTCGAGGCTTCTTCTTGTCTAATACTTTCTTCTAAAGCTTCCATCTCATCTTCGGTTTCATAATCGTTTCCATTTGATTCGTCTTGAGGAATATCTTCATCTGATGGCGAAGAAGAATTGTCACTTGACTCTTCTTCTTCTTCAGAGTCCCTCTTTTGCATTCTTTCTCTTCCAATTTCCAACTGTTCTTGAATAGCTGCTTTTGCAGTTTCTTCCTTATGGGCAGAATTACGTTGCAACTGGCGCTTTACCCATCTACATATATACTATCAGGAGTCTATAAAAGTAACCACTGCCCGACTTACTTGGAAGTGTTCTTATGTCTCAGACTCATTCGTTCTTCTGCTCTTGTTTCTACAGCGCTCTGAGATGATCCTTGGTATCATTGCATCGCAGCCATCTTACCTTTTAACGACTTGGCCTGCTCATTGTTCTTCTTCCCTTTGAAAGACCGATGTGCTTTTCTGTATCGTTTACTCTTGATTCTCTTGATTCGACGCCGCTTCTGTTCAAAATAGCTCATCAACGCACGCATTTTTGCTTTATAACTTCTCAGTGCTTCAGCATCCTAAAAAATGTAACAAAACGACAAAACGGTAACCCAAAAAACCCATACTTTTTTGTCTTCTGCAGTTTTCTTGGCATCCTTCAACTCTTCGGATAACCGATTTTCATTTTCAACCAAACTACGCTTGATGACTTGATCAATTTCCTTCTCCAATTCGCACTGTGGTTGAAAACGATTCACCAACTCGTTCACTGTTGTCGCTTCCTCTGAACGACTAGTCGAGTCTGTGAAATCCACTATTTGAGCTCTCTCAATGCGATGGACCAATGCTTTCCATTTTTTGGAACCCGCCTTGGTTGCCTCGTATGCGGCTTTTCGTTTGTTTCTTTCAACTTGCGCACGGTGTTCTAACGGTTTCAACGCCTTGCCCTGAATATGAGATACTTGCTCTTTCAAACTTTCCAATTTCTTCGAAGAATGCAACGAATTTATCAAATCATCTATCGTTACTCCTAGAGCTTTGGGATAAACTGCTACATCGTCTACTAACTGTACAACGAATAGTCAACAGACAAAAACGACAGCTCTAGACACTGCTATATACCTGCTGAAAATCATCTTGTTTATTCCACCGTATGATGTTTGAAACAACTTGTTCTTGTGCTTCTGAAGAAAAACTATACTCGTCGTCACTTGGCATAAAAAAACAACACCTTCCAATACCCAGAAAATTGACAATTGTTATTTATCGCCGTAATCACTTTAGGATGACCAGTGTACTGTGGTATTTTCCAACCTCTTTTTCTACCTATTTTCGTGCTGCTGCACGTACCTCAGTATTCAGACCTACTCTAGATACCAACTGGAATGATTCGTCCTCAGCAATGAGTTTGTTGAAAGATTTCTGGGAATTGCTTGCAGCTCCAAAGAGAAAGACCACAAGAGCATATAAGATGCGGAGGAAATGGAACCGTGGGATTGAACCACTGCAAAATATAAGTTCCTGTAAACTTTGTGGAAAGCCTATGTTAAAATATCACTACTGTAACCCTTACAGGTGTCACGAAGCGAAGGTTCGGTTGGCAGTGTTGGAAGGCCGAAAGTCCACAAAATAGATTAGAATCCTTCGGACTTAGGTTGTAGTAAAATTCTCCTAGTGGGGTGTCTTTCAAGATACTTCCAGCTCGTGAGAAGTGAAGATTGAGCTGTTGCTTTGACAGTTGTATTGTCCGTTTATTTCTCACTATTCGTAACAGCTCTCTCAGCTTGGTAAAATGTATTGGCAGCGTGATGCTGTGTTAGTTTTATTACAGTTTGAACCTGGCCTCTGTCGAAGTTTGAAATCATGATAACCCACCGAGTGAAAATAAAGTGAGTCGCATTAAATCTTTTAGTAGACCAGTGCTCATCTCTAAACAATTAAATATCATTATAACCTAATTTATAGCAAAATTCGTTAGTACTTGTCAAACAATTTCACTGGTTTATATAATTTTAGAAATTGCTAAGGGATTTGAACTCCCTGCTCAATCTGTGATCAATACAATTATATCTGTCACCTCAAAATGAAACGCAGAAGAAGTTACTGAGATCAAATTGTACATCATGGAAACCTATAAGGTCAGCAGAATAATGTGAAAAAATTGACATTAAATTGAAAACCATACCCTGGCCAGAAAATTAAATTCTTCTTTAGGAGAATTTAAAAAAAATGAATATCAAATGAAAAATTATTTTTTAAATTAACATACACAAGTTTTTCTTGATTTTTTACCAAATTATATGGCATTTTCTCTTTGAGAAGACAAGGTCTGTTTTATATTTTTTGCTTTTTTTTATTTTTTCTTCTTTAACTGTTCTGCAAAATTATATTCCGCTGTGAATCTTATTGAAAAATCAGGACCGGCTTTTTAATTTTTGTTCTTGATCGCATGCCTTTTTCTCACAATTTACCACGATTTATTTTAAAAATACAAATACACGGCTTACATTCGCTGCTATAATTGCTGCTTTTGTTGTCTTATCTTTATTTTGTTTAGTCAATTTTAGATAGCCGAAGCAATTTTTATTTTGTCCTTTTTGTTGTGTAAGTTTTACTTTAATTGCATGCTTCATAAATTTTTTAGAGTCTGGAAACTTCCAATTTTTATGTGCACATGCTTTCAGTATAAAAGAAGTTGTTGGATTGAGAATTGGACATTTTTTAGTGTCAATTTGCTTATTGAATAAAACTTACTTTACATGCCGTAACCATCAAGATCAATTTCTTGTACTACTTGAAGGAAGCAATTTTGCTTCTTCCAGTCTGAGCGCTTCTATGAACAGTGTTTCTTCTAATTTTGTCTCACAACTTTTTATACTAGATATCAAGTCTTGGAACTCTTGAATAACATCATTGCAATCCTTGCTTGCCAAGCTTCCTTCCTTTGTTTCCCTACTTCTATATCATGCTCAGTTTATGATATGACTTTGTTTATTTTATCACTCAATTCTGTTGGTATTTTTGATTGAAGTGTAAGAGTTTTGATAGATCTCGGCCCAATTGCTTTCTTGCAATGAAATCGATCCCTTCATCAATATTCATTTCCCAATTTTTGTTATTGAACTGCGAGAAAATTCTTTTTCTCCACTAGCAAGAAGTTTTATATATTATCTTTGCGAGAAAATTCCCACCAAGTCTTATTTCAAGCTAGTGTATTCTTTACAAAACAGATCGCATTCCATTTGCTTCATACAGTTTGAAACTAACTAGCCATTGAATTTAGTATCCAATGATGAAGCGGGGGAAAAAAATGACTTTTTGCTAATATCCTCGCTTTCGTTGTTTGAAAAAAAATGCAAATCAAATGGCGCCCAAGAAGAGGATCGCGTTTATTTTGGATCTGCAGTCCTTTTTCACTTTCCCTTTCATAAATGGTTGTTCCAGGAAAGCGAAGATATGAACCTTTTCAAGACGATGAAGACTACTTCCTTCAAGAGGAACATTCTCTTCCATATCAGAGGAGAAGTAGAACCGATACAAAAACAGGAGCCAATAACGAAAGCAACGATGAATTTGTTTACATCGTGTCACTCATAGAGAATAAGTCTAAAGAAGTGGGAATAGCTGCTTACAATTTAAAGTCGTTCGAAGTAGAGCTTCGACAATTTGTAGATAATAACACTTACTGGACCACATTATCTACATTATGTGTGTTAAAGTAGGTCCCTTTTCTTTTGCATTTCTCTAACAAATGATCCGTAGCCCTGTCGAGATTCTCATATCTTCTACGAGTACTGGAAAAAGCATGCACAATGCACTTCTCCTCAATCCTATAATAGCCAATGTTCCAGTAAGAGAAAAAAATTCAAGTTGTTTCAGCAAATGGAAAGTTAATCTTGTTTGTAAAGATGACAACTCTAGATAGAAAATACTTTAATGATACTCAAGGAATGCTATATTGCGAAAAACTCACTGTTGAAAAGGATAATCTGCAGGACTTAATTGGCAGACAGGTTCCAAGATACTTAGCTCTGGCAGCATGCTCGGCTTTGATCAAATATGGTATGCGAGACACATTCTTTTAGCTACATAGCTTCACTTTATTCTTAGTGGAAAACGTCCAATGTTGTACCTTTGCTCGAGGAACTCTAAGATTGAAATTTAAGGACAATGAGGACACTCTTCTTATGGATTATGAAACGCTGCAGAGTCTGGAAATTGTTTCTTGCAATGCTAAAGTTTGTGGAATTCCTAATCCTCAACATAGTACTGTTTTGAGAAACTTAAATTTTTGCAAAACAAGAATTGGAACAAGGTATCTCCGAAAAAGTCTTTTGGAGCCGCCTTGTGATTATGCAACTATTACAACCAGACAAGAAGCTTTGAAAGAACTTACACAAAATGAAAGTTTATTCTTTCAAATACAAACGAGTCTAGTTCAGTTCCCGGATTTGGAAGGAATTCTAAGTCAAATAATTCAGGTTGTTCTAACTTGAACATACTTCAGTCTTTACTTGATCATCATTTTGCATAGGTCCAAAAAAGAGACGATGTCGACAGAAGAAAACGTCCTGGCCTCTTGGAATCAGAAATTCAAACTGTAGATATAAAATTAATAAGAAATTTCTTGCTATTGACAAAAGCACTTGGCCAAGTCCATGCTATTCTGGATGCAGTGTGTCGAGGTCGAAGTCCATTGATTGCCTCTATTTCAACAAGTCTCCGAAATCCATCTCTATCCAACATGTTCAACTTGGTTACTCAAGTTATTGATAGTGAATCTCCATCAAACAGAACTGGAGATAAGATAAGACTTGAAGGTGCTTATGCTGTTCGCTCAGGTCGCAACGAGCTTTTAGACTTGTCCAGGAAAATTCTTTCTGAAACCATTGACCAGATTCATCACTATTTCCAAAGTCTTCAGAATATTCCCGGGTTTGAAAGGGCTTCATTGGCTTATTCGCAATCGAGAGGTTATCATATTAAGTTGATAAGCAGTCAATTACCAGACATTGAAGAGGAACTTTTAAGACTTGCACAAAACGCAAATATATTTCGGTATGTAAAGAAAAGCTCAACATTTCTGTCCTATATGCCTTAAACTTATCAAATTTGGAACAGTTTTACTACAAGAACACTCAATGGACTCAATATCCGTTGCAGAGAAACATTGAATGATATTATTCGAATAACGAATCAAGAGCTTCAAATGCTCCTCAACGAAATCTGGAATGCCGAAAACATGGTTTCTCTTCACTGCCTTTGCGATGCTATTGGAATTCTGGACTGTTTAGCATCATTTGCATCCTATGTCTCCAAAAGGTTGGAATCTATTCGACAAATCAGCAATTATTATTAACTCGCAGATAGTGAAAGACTAGTTCTCCCTAAAATCTCTACAAAGGGTCCCATTGCTATCAAAAATGGTCGACATCCGCTTTTAGAGAAACAAATCAAAAACTATGTACCCCATGACACCTTTCTAAGCGCTGCTTCCTCTTTTTATCTCATATCTGGTTCTAATATGTCCGGGAAAACAACATTTATGAAAGCTGTGGCTTCTATATGCGTTCTTGCTCATGCAGGGTGTTTTGTACCTGCCGACTTTGCATCTGTCTGCTTGATCAACAGAATTATTGTTCGTACAACCACAAACGACTCTGCTGAGGAGAACTGTTCGTCCTTTTCAAAAGAAATGCGAGAAACTGCTTCCGTTCTATGTTGTCTTGAAGAAATGGAAGCTAAATATCAGCTACGAGAAGCTAGACAAAATAAGCCTATAATACTTGTAGTGTTTGACGAACTTGCAAGAGCAACAAGTCCCATGGAAGGATTCTCCATCGCATTTGCAGTAGCAGAACAACTCGTCGCATCTCCAGTTGCATATTGCCTGTTTTCCACACACTTTCAAGAAATGTCGCTATTTGAAGATTTATACGCTTGCGCAAAGAGTTTCTATTTGACTTCTTCCTTTACTAAGGACGATTCCGACAACTCTGGAAGCCAAAACGCTCACGTTCTCACACGCGGCTTTATCAAGGAAAAAAACTATGGGATCGCTACTGCAAAGGTATCTCAGTTTACTCTTCATGAAAATGACTCAACGATTTCTTATATAGGAGGCAGGATTTCCATCCAACGTCATCTCCTTGGCAGAGCAACTTGTCGACAATTTTACACAACAAATTAGCCGGTGTTTAACCAAAGATTCCTCAGCACAGGAGGAACAATGCAAGAAAGAATTTTCTCTGCTCCAAAAACTCATAGTCTTGAAAAACGCAGGACTAGAAAAGGAAAGGTTGAGACAGAAACTAGCCCAGTTAAAGAGCATTGTCTACTCATCCCCATAAAAGTAGATACAAAAGTATATGGGAGGAGAACATGGGTGAGAGTATGGAACAAGACTTGGCAAATGTCATTGATCAAGGTGATACAGAAGCATTATATCGCTTATTGGCACCGGTGCAACAAAGTCAGTCGAAAACTACATCAAACGGAAAAGAAACGAAAAAGAATTATTCGGAAGTGAAAGAAAATAAGGAGACTTTTCAAGAAAGGTTTGACGAGTTGTTTCTGACAGAGAAAGAGCAACTACAATTACAGCCTCTGCTTCAACAGTTTCCGTTTCTAGATTCTGAAGACATTCTTTCCATTTACGAAGCATGTAATGAAGACAAAGACCTTGCAAGAACCGTCCTGGAATCGTTGGTGAACTCAGAAGCTATAAAAAATAATAATGTCCCTGGTGATAATCTGGAGCTTGACACAGAGGGTTACTCGAAAGCACTTCAAGAGTGGTCACAAAATTTCCCTTCACTGCAAAGTGTTTCGGAGAATCAAATGGAGAAGCCTTCAGTTGACCTTGGAAAGGTGGTTTCTGATTCTCGCTCGCTGGTATTTAAACTTCGTTTACGGAAGCTCGCAACTTTGTTCCCCAATGTGGAGGAGACGAACATTGCTCACTGTTTAAACGCAAACGATTGGAAATACAAGGAAACTTTTTCTGAATTGGTCAAAAGGAGCATCAAAGACGATAGTTCTCCAAAGCCAGTCCATACGACGAAACAGTTGACGGAAAGAAGTAATAAGAAAAGGTAGGCGTATATCATTTTATACAAAAAAGAGATATTAACGTTTTCAAGTACGATGGATATTTCCAAGGAAATTCGGCTAGATAAAGGGACAACAAAGAATATTTGGGTATCAACTGGAACCACAGTGGGAGATTTGTATGAAAAGTCTCGATTGCAGGCAAAGGAGTTGGCAAGTTTGCGCAACCAAATGTTTATGCAAGCAGCTCGTGCAGCTTCTAATGGTAATAAACGTGCAGCGTCAGACTATGCCCGAAGAGGACACGAATACAATCAGATAATGAAACAGTTACATGAAGAAGCAGCTGACGCCATTTTTACTGAAAGAAACTCAAATGCAGACTTCGTAATAGACTTACATGGTCTTCATGTAAAGGAAGCCATAGTTATATTGGAAAGAAAATTTCAAGTGTGCTAGCTTTATCTTTCTCATTCAAACTATGTGCTCATGCTATCTTTCCTGTAGGAACTAGAGTCGAGAAGAAGCAATGAATCGTTTCAGGATGTTATTATCGTAACTGGAAGTGGACATCATACCAAAGGCAAAAAGACACCAGCCCGACTGTATCCTGCAGTGGAACATTTTTTGTTGTCTCGTCATTACTCATTTGAAGTTCTCAAAGACACCAACAAGTATGCAGGTGCCTTCCTCGTCCATCTCCGGTAGCCTTCTTGCCAATGAAGGCTACTGGCATTGCACTTTGTTTTATTTTATATATCTTTCCAGAAACTTGCGATGAAATTCGTTGCGGACAGTATCATTAATAAACCCTGGCTCTCTTTCCACAACTGGGTCGTCGTTTTGCTTTCGAAAGACAACATCGTCATCCCATCTCCTCTTCACCTTAAACGAGGGTTTGTTTTCTCCTACATTTAAAAGAGGATTGCCCCTCATAGCTCTTTCCAACTCCAAACTCTCTTGTTTCGCTCTTTCCTATCAACAAGGGTTCAGAAAATGGCCTTTCTGACACTTTCATTCTTACCTCTTCTTCCTTTCGTCTTCGCTCTTCTTCACGTTCTCTCTTAATTCTTTCCAACTCTTTTAACAGTTCGTCTTCTTCTTCGTCATTACTGTCTTCTTCTTCTTCTTCTTCCCCGTTCTCTACTTGTCCACCTTCTTCTTGTTCATCCGTATCTTCGTCCAACCAAACGTCGGCATCCACATCTTCATCCGCATATTCTTTCAACTCTTCTATTTTGGTTTTCTTCCTATGTTGTTGTTCCTTTTCCTCCAACTCTCTTTTCAAGTCTCTTCCTTCCAAGTCTTCAGGAGCACCTTGTCCTTTCCCTCTCTCTTTGAGGTGCAAGTGACCTGGCATGTCACGAGCAGAAACCTTCGCAGAAGGAACATTGAGTCGAAAACCACCTTGTTCGTTTCCACCTTTAGCAGGGTTCCAAGTAGGACGATGTGCAGTGGTCATTTTCCAATATCAATTCCAAAGAGATCAACTCCTCGAAAATCATGATACAAGTGGATTCTTTTTCATATTCTTCAACATCTTTTTTCAAAAGTCTCGAGACATGGAAGAACTATTGTATATCTCGATATCACCTTCATTATGTCGACTGATACATTCATTTAGGAAGAAGTGGAGTGATTCGCATTGATTGTTGTTATCATGAGTGACTTTGGAAGGGGACCCACTTCCGGTCTTACAGGTCCTCCTAAACCACCACCTCACGCAGCAATACAAGATGGACCTCCTCCTGGTGGTTATCCACCTATCGATGTGCGTAGAAACTTACCAAAAGTCGGGCCTTCCGGGTCCACACTGTTGATAGGCGTTGGGTTGATCACCATCTATGGCTTTTGGGGACTGTCTAGATCAGCTCAGCGCAGAAGACGACTCAATCAGGAAAAGTATCAAGTTCGTTTGGCTATCACACCGTTTCTACAAGCTGAAGAGGATCGACAAACTGTGAAGCAAGTAAGTAATAATTGCGCACGAGATACAACTCAGTCTTTTATTCTTGTTAGAATCGACGACGTCTTCGTCAAGAGGAGGAACTTATGAAGGATGTTCCTGGTTATCAACCCGGTGAAAATGTGTACAAAACGAGGAAGTATGCTCCTTATGTGAAACCTTTAGTGCCTGGAGTTGGTCCACAAGGACTTCCATAAGCCTATACCTAAGCTTGTTGTTGAAAAGCAGTAGTTTTTTGAAAGTTTTCTAAAGTGATGGCTGCCAATAAAGCCGGAATGGAATTCCATCTTGCACAGTATTGTTCGATTTCGTTTCTTATGGTATAACAATACTCGGTTTCCAGTAGTTCTACTCCTAATAATACTATGTCAGTATTATTCTTTTTAGCACTCACTGTGTAACTGATACCTCCAAGTTCATTTCTACCAAAACAAAGCGTCTCGTTATTACTACTTTCGGCATACATCGATGATAGCCTACACAACGAGAATATCATAATGATAATCACCATCATCCAACAAACAACTTACCGATATTGAGCACCAACGACATTAATTTTCCAACCAAATAAATGATAACACGTTTCACGAAACTCATTAATCTTTGCCTTGGCAACTTGTCTCGTTCTCTGTGCCCTCTTTTCAGCATCAAAAGCTTTTTCTCTCCACTTCTCTGCCGGTAAAGACAATGCATTCCAAGTTGTGCATGAGGACTGTTCATCCCTTGGTGATATTTGCTCCTTTGTAGAAATGAAGGAATCGGAATCTTGTTGTTGCATCCATCTCGGATGCTTGTTAGACTCTCCCAAATATCTCTCATTGATGACCATAGGAGGACCTCCTTTTAAATGCACTACTTTGGTATATGTTGGATTAAAGTATCCACTTCCTATGTGCTTCTCCAAGGATTGTACTGCTTCTTGTAATAACTTTATTTGTGTCTCATAATCTTCACGAGACTCCTGCTGGCGCTTCTGAGCATCAACAACTTGCTGCAGGTTATCAATTTTATTCTTATATTCTTCAACTGTCGATAATAGTTGTTCATATTTTTGAGTCAACATATTCAGCTGCTGTTCCAACTCCTCCTTTTGTTGTTGCAGTTCCATTTTCTATAAAAACCTATCAGTATACTTGTGATGTCATTTTCGTATAACAATGTTTACCGTTCTTCTACTTGACATCAAGTTGATACGAAGTGACTGAATAACTGATTGTGACGAGCCCTCTGCAGACTTGATCTCATTCCATTCTTCTATTTGACTCTTCAAAGAAGATAGCAATCGGTCTTTTTCTGATAATTCAATCTCCCATCGTTTCAAAGTTGCTTCCATTTCAGAGTATTGTGACTGCAACAGTTTCATCTTCTCAACAAGAAGTTGGTTGTCTCCATCTTGATCATTGACCATGTTTGCATCCCATTCGTTGAGAATATTTTTCAACCCATCCCTTTCATTTTCTAATAACCTATAATAGTCCAAAACAGGTTAAACCACCATCAACTGCACAAAATATACTTCTACCTTCTAATAAGAATCTGACGCTCACACTGTTTTTCAAGCTCTCTATGACGGTGCTTGTTCTACATACAAAGTTATTCTCAATGCTCATGCCAATGTAAAATGCAAAATTTACTTGTTGCAATTCATCACGCAAAGCAGCAATGGTTTCTTCCATTTGACTCCTTATGGCAGTTTCCCTTTCATTTTCCACATCTTGTTGAGCATTTCTAGTATATGACAACTCCTTCAAACGTTTCATCGCCTCTTCCACATCTCTTACTCCTGTCATCGCATATACCAAGTGCAACAACTCGTTGCTTTGTTCTCGAAGTACCTTTACCTTGCTTTTAAAAAAACTTTACACACAAATAATAGAAACAAACCTCCAACGAATTTTTAGCTTCTTCTGCTTCTGTAAGTTCCCATTTCAAGGTTTCCATTTGTTTCCTGGTATCATTCAATTCTCTCTGCAGCAACTTGTTTGTTTGCTCCAACCCAACCGTTGTTGGAGACCTTTGTGAATAGTTTGTATTCTGTTGGTCTATTTTTTCTTGCATACTGGGTGACACTGTTGTTGTCGTACTATGACAATATTGTCTGCATCTCTCGTTTGCCTGTTCCAATTGAGTTGTCAACTCCTATCTCTGGTCAGTTCAACGTCCAAAATATAACTTTGTATACTCGCCTTATTCCAAAGACGTTCCTCCTCCAATTCTTCTATAGTCAATTTCCATCTATTTCCTAAAGTTTCTACTTGGGTACTAAGCTGTTCTTTTTCTTCTTGTAGTTTAGATATTTGTTGTTGCAGACTTCCCACTTCACGTTTCCAAGTATCCTTCGTGACAATTGAAAAGCGAAAGCATCACAAAGTCTTGTGCTTACTTCAACGCGTCTTTTATTTGCTTGGACTTCATCCAACGTCTTTCTCAATTGCGCCAAATCTAAAGTTGACTTCTCCGCTCTTTGCTTCCAATATTCGATTTCTTGTATTGCTTTATCTTTCCATTCCTCCCATTCTCTCTGGGTTTCCTATATGCGTCATTAAAAATCACTCAAACCAACAGCACACAAAGGACCACTCCTTCATTCTCACCTGATGTCTCCATTCCGACTCTTCATATCTAGCTTTAGCATCTTGACACTGTTCAGTGAGTTGGGTGCATTGTTGTTCCCACTGTAGTTTCCCTTCTCTATGTTCCTCTTCGCGTTGTTCATACAGTTGTTTCCAATGTTCCATCTTTCCCAAGTTGAGTTTCCAAAGTTACTAGAAATGACACTCACTTGTTCGCTGGTGCGTACGAGTTCATTCTTCAGCGCAATAGCTATAGCTTGTAACTGTGCGACATCTTGTCCTTACTCTACGTGTTATTTGTGTGTTTTCGAATTTTTTTTTCTATTTCTACTTGCCTGATTCTACTGTAGTACTTGTTACATTCTTTCCACGTGGTGTAGCCCGTAGTGCCTCACGTACTGCTGGATACTGCAAAGTTTTCAACTGTTGATACAAAGACTCTAAAATATTTTCGGAACAAGTTTCTTCATTCATCAAGCCCAAAAGAAGATTGGCTTTCAAAGCGCGCCTTGGCATTTTTTTCTTTCATTCCTAAAAGAGCGCAACTTTAAAATCTTTATTCAATACGATTATCCATTGTTGCGTTCTTGAAACATGGACAACATATCACCAGAAACCAACAAATTAGCCAACTGGTTAGCTTTCAAGTAATCATATTCACCAATGGGCATCACCAACTTTTCCATCTTTCCAGAGGTGGTTATAACTTGTAAAGGAAACGTACCTAAAGGTTGTTTCCATAACAAGTGTAACCATCCAGGAGTACTTTTATTCGCTAAAGCACCAAATCGTAGAAGTCTTTCCACGTTGCCAACTCGGATGTTGCCTACTTTGACTTGGACATGATGCGGTCTACCCAAACCCAAATAACGATGTTGATAGAACCGCAACATTCCTTGTTTCTTCAACTCTCGTATTTCGATAACCCTACCTTTGGTTAACCATCGAGTGGCCACCACAAACGTCATACAAATACCCATAAATACAGAGTACACTACCAAACTCACACCAATCGTTTGATCAGAAGAAGGAATTCCGTGAATATAGTGCGGACCAAAAAACAAATAACCAGCATAAATAGAAAAAGCCAACTGTCCCAATGGTATGAGGTTAGCAAAACGATACAGGAATACTTCTCGATGTTTAAACAAAACTGTTTCTTCTTCGGATAACTTGGACTGAGTGGAAAAGCGTGCACCACCCAAACGATAACCACTTTGTCCACGAGTTTTTAACCATGAAAAAGAAGTATAACTCCAACTGTCCGCCTTTTGAAAGTTTGAAATCCACTCATTAGAATATCCAATTCTCAAAAGAGAAGTTGTGTTGTTGTATACCAAACGACGAAGCAGCCGATGAGAAAGCCATCGCATGATATTCGTTCTTCCTTTCTTTTTCCAAAGGATTTCGTGAATTATTGATATTCTTAAATGGCAGGACGAAATCATTCTTCTTTTATTAGTATTCCAAGAATCGTAAGTAAGCCAACTTGAGTAGACACTTACATATATGGGCATATGTATAGAGTAGTAAAGCACCTAATTCTCCCAATAAGTCATCTTTTCAAGACTGGGATGATAGCGACTCGGCAAAGGACCCGACTCAAGATGTGGACTCTTTAGACGTGACACCTCTTACAGATCGAACGGACGAGGAAGTAGCCGACGTAAGACTTGTTAAATATCTTTCATTATTTCTCACAATTAGGAAGGCCAATTTCAAATATGCAAGTTTGCAAGAAGCTGCTGCCAATTTTCGGTTGTTCAGTGACAAGAGAGAAGAAATTGAAAAAAGTTTTCAGCGCTTAGTAGTTTCAGGAGGTGTTGAAGAAGAACTTTCAGAAATAGAGCAGCAAGCTTGTCAGTTGCTAACGGAAGCCATTCGTTTAAGAGAACAATATATTCGGAAACCTTTGGTAATTATGGACTTGGCTTTTCTTTACACTCTAATAACCATTCAACAGAATCCTGAGTGGCAACATCCGAAGCCTTGTAAAGTTACTGAGTATACTAATTTTGTTCCACCGCCATATGATCCTTTTACGAAAGATATTCCTCCAGCTTCTTCTCATTGTTTTTCTTGGAAGAGAGGAATCTTACATATATTTGCCAATGCAGAAGATTTATCTTTGCGAAAAATGTCTATATCAAGTAAGTCTGTGAATATTGTTGTTGTTGTTGTTGTGATTGGATTTTCTATTGTTCATTATTGTTATCATCACTATCTTTAGGTACCATCTTTTGAACAATTTGGAACAGATTTACAACGTTTGATGACTATTGTAAATGATCCAGATTGTCGTTCTTTTTGTTACAAGCGTCTTATGTTTCTATCCACCAAAGACCAAATGCATCGAATACTCAATTCGGACAAGGAGCAATTGGAAAAGATGACAGTTCCTCATCGAGACTTTTACAATGTGAGAAAAGTGGATACTCATGTTCATCATTCAAGTTGTATGAACCAAAAACATCTGTTGAGGTTTATCAAGTCTAAATTGAAGAAGAATCCTGATGAACCTGTTCTTACCAATCGAGAAGATCCTTCCAAGCCCCCTCTTACATTGAGAGAGGTATTCACTTCATGACTCTCTTTTATTCTGTTCTCAGACCCAATATTTAGGTTTTTGATTCTCTACATTTGACAGCGTATGATCTGTCGGTAGATACTTTGGATGTTCATGCGGATAATTCTACTTTTCATCGTTTTGATCGATTCAATCTCAAATATTCTCCGTAAGTTGTTTTTGTAAGATTCTTAGATAGCTGTCTCATTATCTTCAAGGTTTGGTCATTCAAGGCTACGAGAAATATTTTTGAAAACGGATAATTATATTCAAGGCAAATACTTGGCTGAGATTACTCGCGAAGTGTTGGAAGACTTGAAAGAGAATAAGTATCAAAATGCGGAATATCGAATATCCATTTATGGCAAATCGTATGACGAATGGGATCGATTAGCTCATTGGTAAGTGTGAATGAGAGAATGATTGCTTTTTATGGTTTATTGTTTTTTTTATCAAGGTTTGAGAAGAACAAGATATATAGTGATAATGTTCGTTGGTTGATACAAATTCCTCGGTTATTCAATTTATACAAAGAGAATCGTATTTTACATCATTTTCAAGAAATGTTGGAGAATATATTTACTCCTTTGATTCAAGTCACCATCGATCCTAGTTCTCATCCCAGTTTACACCGCTTATTACAACAAGGCAAGTGAAGAAAGCATCGTTTTTATATTGAGATTGATTTCTTTCTAGTCGTTGGATTTGACTCTGTCGATGATGAAAGTGTCGTACAGCCACGTTTGAATTGGAGTCGCATAGGACCTCCTGTTCAGTGGACATTTGATGTGAATCCTCCTTATTCCTATTATTCTTATTACATTTATGCCAATTTGTATGTCTTGAATAAGTGAGTGTCGATCCATACTCGCCATGATATCGATGTACTTATAAGTGTTGTGTGATAGATTACGTGAAGCTCGAGGATTTTCTACCTTTTGTTATCGTCCTCATGCAGGTGAAGCAGGTGATATGGAACATTTGGCAGTTTGTTTCTTATTAGCAGATGGCATCAATCATGGCATCAAATTGAGAAAGAGTCCTCCTTTACAATATTTATATTATCTTTGCCAAATTGGTTTGGCAATGTCTCCTTTGAGTAACAATTTGTTATTTATGGAGTATTTCCGTAATCCGTTGCCTATATACTTTGCTCGTGGATTGAATGTTTCCATATCTTCTGATGACCCTTTACAGTTTCATTTTACCAAAGAACCTTTGATGGAAGAATACTCAGTAGCAGCACAAGTATGGAAATTTTCCAATACTGATTTAGCAGAATTAGCTCGCAACTCTGTATTGCAAAGTGGATTTGAAGCTTGTGTCAAAGAACAGTGGATTGGAAAGCATTGGTATAGACCAGGTGCTGCAGGAAATGATATTCAAAAGACAGGAGTACCCAATATTCGTCTTCGTTATCGCTTTGAAACTTTGATGGAAGAACTGGCATTGATATTTCGTCGTCAAGTGCCAACCCATATTCATGTGTTACCCAATTGGCAAATGAGATGGACAACATAATAACCAAAAACACATAAAATCAATTATTCATCGAAACAAATAATCAGCTTCTATTCGATATATATATATATGTATGTATTATATTCTCTCTAACGATTATGCTGATCTACGACGTTTGAACCACATATAAACATCGGTCATCAAAGGATTGAATAGAATAGGTCTTCCAAACATATCTTCAAATAGGAAAGATGCCGCATTGTACCAACCTGCTGCCGATAACAGAATACTAAACACACCACCTGGCACAGTACTTATCTTTCCATATAAAGAAGCCATGGAAAGAATCAAAGACATTTCCACAAAGAAAAACATGATCATGAGACCCAAAGTTAACATAAAAGACGCAATATAGATATAAGTATTAAATATAATATAACCAAATATCATAGCACCTAGACCATGTTCCAACTGAACAACTGAAATGGGACCAAAAAAGCCTTGAGTATAAAACACCATATAAGCACCAAAAGCCAAATAGAATGCACCATAAGAGGAAGCTGCTACTCCAGTAAAGTTGTCATTGTTGACAAAGGCCAATATTCCAGCAACAATTTGACAAAATCCACTATAAAAGAATGCTGGAGGTGCCACAGTAAAAAGTAACTCGGAGGAGATGAGCCCTACATTCACAATACCAAGGAAACAAGCCCCTGTTGAAAAAGCAGATAGTGCTAATATAGCAGGTTTCCCAGCAACATTGCGGAAATGTCTCATAGCTAAGGACCAAAACTCTCTTTTCAGTATGGTACGAAGAATACTTTGGCAACAATATACCTGGTGGTAAGTTGTGATGTTGCAATAGATTGCTTCCATGTCCATTTGAAGTTGCGTTATCCATATAAGAAGCACCTAGTCCATAGGTTGTCTCCTTTCTGACTTCTTCTCCTTCTTCTTCATCGGCAGTATTCCTCTTTCTTATACTGGCAAGAGTGCTATCCGCTAACTGTGCTTCCGTTTGCATTTCGAGTAACAACAATTCTCTCCAGAAAAACCTTGTGAAAGATTTATCTCGTTCTTCTCCACCTTTCTTCTCCTTCGTTCTCTTCTCATTTGTCCATGAGACATTGAGACTCTGCTGCTTGGATAGCCCTTGGATTCAATGTGTCCATTGGATGACAGCAAAGCACAGAGAGAGGGCTAGTTTCAAATTCTATATATATATATATATATATATATATATATAGAGAGAGAGAGAGAGAGAGAGAGAGGGAACATTTCAAGATTCTTTGTCAACAAATACTATTTATTACAATTCCAAACAAGAAGAACGATGAAACAACAACTTTTGCAACATTCCAACGACTCGTTTCGTATCCTCTCTCAAGGCACCATGCAAGTATTCATTGGTTACCCAAATACTACAATGAGCAATCTGTTTGGCTGTTTCTATACTTTTGTGATAATCGACATAAACATCATTATAAAAGATAGCAGCTGCAGTTGCAATTTGATTGTTTTGTAGTTGCTCTTTGTTATACAAGGAAGACCAATTTTTCTTTCTGGCCAACTGATCCACAACTTTTGCATAAGGTCGTAAACAAGCAAACTAGAGAAACATTTCATATATATTCTATTTACTCTCTTTTCTTTTACTTACTTGTTCAAACATAAATGGGAATATCATTTCACCTGTAAAATAGATAGGCTTTTGGGTATATTGTAAACAATGCATGGCATCGAAACATGGTAAACTACGAATAACTTGTTCAGCTGCCCAAATAGGATGATCATCATCTTCATTCTCCTCATCTTGACCACTATTATTACCATTCCAATAAATACTTTCATGAAGAACTGCATAAAGTGGATTGGTCTCCCAAGTAGAAAACAAATGATCTACAGTAGCCAAAAAATATTCCGATAGAATAGAATTGCCTTTATGATCTTGTGTAAAAGCTTTTTCTAACAAACAGTGTAGACTACCAAAACCACCAGAGAAACCCAAAGTTCGATGTCCCAATGTTTGTAAACCTCTCGGTGTAAGTATGGAACCAGAAGATAACTTGACTGGAGCATGTTGATCGAGATATTGTACTATATTTCTTACCAATGGAATATCTTTTGGAAAGTGAAGATAATATTTTTCATTTTGTTGAATAAGCCTTTGAAACAAAGCTTGATATACGGCAATACCTTGAAATCCAGGAAAAATAGGAGGCAATCCTGCAGTTATATAACAAGAGTGTAAAGAGTGGGGAAAAAGAGATAAGTAAGTAACTGCACAGAATCCTCCAAAGGACTGTCCCAATATAGACCAAGTAGAGTCTCCATACAAGAGTTTACGACAATATTCTGCATCTCTTACAATAGAATCGGCACGAAAACAAGCGAGAAACTTTGCTTGTTCCTTTACATCGGAAGAATAAGTTTCTAATACTTGCCAATGGATAGGAAACGAAAGACCCGTTCCTCTTTGTTCCAATAATACGATGGTATCGAAATAATCGAGAAGTGGTCTCAGAAAGTGTGTTGAAGAATCAGGTCTTGGACTTTCCATACCAGGACCTCCTTGTAAATAACAAACTACTTTGGAACAAGTATTTCTAGTTGTTCCAGGAGTGACGGTTTCCAAGGACACGACTCTAACAAATAGTGGAATAGTGCCTTTTAGTTGATTGGAATAATCTAAAGGAACTTGAAACATATAATTATTACATTGAAAACCATTCAACGTAAAACTTTGGTTCGGTTGCACTAGCGTATTAGAATAGTCTCCATTACTCATTTTTCCAATGAATAGCAGCCCAATGAGCATCGTCTCTTTCTTCTTCTTCTTGTTGTTGTTGTTGTTGTGAATATTTCGAAACTTGCTTTGGATGGCTAAAATATTTCTGATCAACTTGCTTATATTCAAATGGATGTGGAGATTTCTTTTTGGCAAAGTGAAAAGCTAAGTTACTAACCAATGTAAACCCTAAAAGCAAAACCAAAATAAAGGATAGAGTTCGATATGAAATGGGCTCCACAAAAGAGTTGAGAACCTAAGTCACCACAAATGGGATGGCTATTCAAAGAGAATGAAAAACAACTTACTTCTGATAGTGTCTCTGCATATAATTTGGTTTTTGAACCGATCGATTTGGGGTCTCTAGTCATACAAACGTACCAAGTATGACACTGTTGGCGAAGGAGAGGAATAGATTGAGTTTCATTGCACTTGTTGTCGACATAGTCATTATAACAACGTCTAACGATGGCTTGAGCTTCAATTGTTTGTTCCATAACTTTTCCAACGATATCGTTTCGAATACTCCAAGCAATAGACAAAAGTGATAAGAGTACGATAGCAACGATAACCATATTGAATATCAACTGCAAGTATCCAGCAATAACATAGGGCATATATAAATGTTTCTGCAGTCGATGACTTTCCTCTTGTCTCTTTTCAATAAAACTAGAATCCAAATGCTTTGATGGAATATCCAAAGTCTGTCTTTCTTGGTTGCTAGAATTTTCCAATCCTTGAGGGTTTGTTTCTGGACGAGATAAAGGAGGACCCTTCAAGTCAGATAACCAAGTCCAAGGAAGAGTTCGTTTCAGTCTCTTTTGGTATAAATTCTTTCGATGGTATCCTGAGCCTACACGAAGATTTTGTAACCTTTTCGCAAGTGCTTTGGAATGAAGTATGGCATCCAAAGTTTGAGTTTCTTCTTTCGAGTATGGGTTGTTTGGTTGACTCTTTTCCAACTGTTGTTGTTGTTTCGACTGCATAGGAACTGTCCAGAATGAAACACTTGTCTTTGGAGGAGAAAGAGAAGAAGACTTGTCCAAATCCATCGGATCCATTTTCTGTATAAAAAAAAAACGGTTAATCCACTTTCTCAATCAGAAAAAGTATATCATTCTATTTCATTCCATATAGTCAACTAGGCTTCCTAATATATATATATATTACGAATATCGAATCATTCCAAATGATACAAGAAAAGGTTTTCAACTCTTTATTATTCTATTTTACAACTTTTATCCAAAAAGAAAAGGGTCTTTTATTTCCTCTTCTCTTCGACTCTTTTATGGGAGAGCTGTTATGATAGTTGAGTTTCTTTGAAAGCGTTTCTTAAGATGGTCAAGATATTCTGTAGAGTAGCACTGAGCATAGTAGGCTCGAGTATTTTCACACACAATAATACGACGAGTCTTTAAACTAACCAAATGAAAATCTCCACTTCTCGTATCAATCCTTGGAAGAATAAATTCTTTCTTCTGCTACGGAAAAATTTTGTTGAATCTTCGAAAGTTTGCTGTCACAAGTATGTAAATGAAGAACTCAAGAAGCGCTCGTATTCTTTGCAAAGACCTTTCGAATAATTCATATGTATTCAATCCAAGGGATAGTTTCAAAATAGTGGTCGAGCATACAATCAATTGACAATGAAAAGGTAGAGATACGTGCAGATTGAAAAGCAAATGTTCTTCAAAGAATTTGTCCAACATTATCCTCATAATAAATGCTCATTATCTCTAAACTCTCTCTTAAAACTTGATTGGTATATTTCCGTACTCACAATGAACGACAAAGAAATTCTTAACTTTCCAAGTCAACTTGTTGTGATATTAGAAACAAAAACTTTTCTGCTTATGCTCGAATATCTCTGAACAATCCATTCTCTTAGCCTGTTAAACACTTTGAGATTCCTACGAGATAAGCAGATGGTCTCTTTGAAAGTTGATGCAAAGAGTCTGTCATTTCCTCAAAAAAGATGATGACACACTAGTCTTTGTAACGTTTTTAGATACACAAAGTATCAAGTCAGGTTTTCTCGATTGCTGTGACTGAGGAATAAAAATACTACCTTCATTGAATAAGAATATTCCAGCAGAATCATAGGAAGAGACAAACTTTGGAATACTTGCTTCTGCTTGCATGTTGTTTACACTTTCAGAAATATAGTTTTTTTAAATATGTTTATTTCTCTCGACTTGGAATCGAAGAGCACTTCGAATTGTAAATCATGTCAATTTGGAAAATCAATGATAATGAATAAAACGAGTTATAGGAACACCACGACAGGAACGTTCAAGATATTTTAAAACAAGCTTTGGATAATCCAACTTGAAAGTGTCTGTATTCTCTTCATATATATATATATATATATATATATGATAAAAACCAAAGTGGCTAGCGATGTCCAGAATAGACTCAGTTCCAACGACCAAAGTATATTTCTCTGCAATGAAGAGGAATCTTTAAGATACTAGTAAAAAGCAGCGTAGAGAACACAGTACATACTTTAGGTCTCCATCTCACAGAAAGACTTTCAAGCATAGAAATGTCTCAGAACAAGGTAGAAAGCATCTCTACATGGTGGTCCAAAAAAATTGTCGACAGACTGGAAGTGTTTCATGCAACAAAGAATGTTGTGCCTTTTGATTATGAGTGAAAGAATGTTATCTTTTTCTTAAAAAAGTCCTAGACACAAATGACACAATATTTCCTTCTTTCAACGATTTCTCTAGTTGATGACCAAGTTCCCACAATGTTAATATTTGCATAGGCAATATCTGATAGTCGAAGAAAATCTTTATAAAGTTTGTTTGAAATGTCAAGACTAGTATGATGTACTCGGATAATAAAAGATGAAATGACAACAAACCTTATTGGATGGGAATTATATACTGTGCTTGGCCATAAAAACTTTTTGAAATACCAAAAGGTTTTTAAATATTCTGTACTGTCTGGAGGATTGTTTCCATATTTTTTTTGTAGACAGATCCATTATTACTGTTATTGTTATCCGTCCTCTAAAATGTTGTTATAATTGAATTGAGAACAGCGTAAAAGTCAGTTTTAAAATGTTCTTCCATAGTATATATACTATATCACAACGACTACAAATGTTGCATCGGTCCAAAGTTTGTAGTTTGTTCTACGAATAGATTCGAAAACCTGTTTAGTGCTTTAATAGTAGATGCTTCAGTACGCAGAAAATATTTTTCCTAAAATGGATAAAGGCTAATACGATGTGAATTTCTCAATATTTCTTAATAAATATATAGTAACATCTTCATTTAATGATGAGAACCTGAGAACAACAAGTAAAAATGTATATATCGTTAAAAAGTAACAAACTTGAAATTATGAGGATCCCTTTAATAAGCTCGTCTGGTTGGAAAAAAAAGTAACACAGTATCCTCTCTGACAACAAGTAAAAGAAGATTCAAGACAAGCACGATTATGTGTGGCAATAAGCTGTCAAGTTTTGAAGGATACCCAAAATCCAATCTATTTCATTGTTTTCAATGGAAAAATAGTCGAGCTTTCAATTCAGAGTTCAGCCTAGTTGTTTATGTCATCTAAACCATGCAACTGTAGTAAGAAGAATAAATTTGCTCAAGTTTGATATAGTTTTTGACAGTGTCTTATAAAACAGCCCCTGATTTATAACAACTTTTGAAAATTATTTGTTTTAGAAAATTTCTCAGATATTAAAACGAGATATTCCTAAATATTTTTGGAAAGAGATAAAACTATTTCTTGTAACGTTGCAATGCCAATATTTCTCGAATGTGGATTATCCACAGACTTGAAAGCGTTCCTTAAATTCGATAAAATGTCTTTGCCAATAAAGTTTTCTACATCAGCTTCAGAAAGAATAACCAATTCACAGTTGTGAGGAATCACGAAATCTTCAACACTATCGCCAGATGAATAAAAACGACTAGAATAATTCAAGTCCTCAGATACGTTGGTTGCTAACTGAGTACTCATAATAATCAACATACAATGCCATGTAGGATGACTAGTCAATACTTGATCATGCACTGGTTTCAAAAACTTGTGAGCTTCTTCCAAAATTTCATTCCATCGAATACCATTACGACTCCATCGGCCTTTACAAGCAATACCCACAATCATCAAATTCTTCTCATTCGTTCTTCCATGCAACTTGAATAATATATCTGGACTATGAAAAGTTGAATGAAATGGAATATATATCTTTTCAAATTCTAACATTTCTTCCACTATCCTTTCCCATTCATCATTGCTTCCAAATGTCATTCTCTCTGTTCCTGATACAGCTCTGGTATAATGTATAGATTTCATATAATAAGCAGCAGATTCGGAAGAAAATTGTAAATTCATTTCATTCCAAACACGAGACAATTGACCAAGAGTAGAAAACATTGAACTGTTTGTAGGACGCCGAGAAAAATGTAAATAAAACAGTGTAGCAATAAGACCTTCCAAAATTCGACATTTCGACTCATAAAAGAATTCCATAAATTGAGACTTGAGAGTCTGTAAAAGTAACCATTCTAAACGATCATCCTTTAAGCCTTGGTCAATATATTCAATCAGTAACTTGGGAATCAATACTTCATAGCGTTCGTTGCGGTCTGGTTCTATAACCAATCGACGATAGAGACACATATCTGTAACTAGATCAAACAAAAACACATCAGAATTTGAGCTTATTTGCACAGTTTCATCAAAATCAAATCGAATACGATACAAAGATAATAACGTAAGCATTCTTAACAAGCGCTTACGCTGCTCACTGAGACTTATCAGACGAGGTAAGAATGGAGCAACACAATAATTTGTTACTAAAAAACCATTCATTATGATCAAGAAGGTTTCCTTAGATAATAAGAAATTGTTGTTGGATGATTTATACAGCAAAAGGTAACTGATTGCTCGAACAAGTAAACCAGGAACACCACCAGTCAATTCCAACAACAATTCTGCAAGTTCACTAGTTGAGAAGTCTTCGTGACAAAGAATTTCTGAAACCTTTGGGCTCCTAGTGAATAAAAAGGAAGAACTTTTCTCCAAATGTTCCACGATACTATGTTTCTCATGCGGCGAAAGAGGAATAAATACTAACTGAACTCTTGAGACTGAAGCCACGTAATTTTTAATACTTAAACCCTTGCTTTTCCCAACAACAATAAAAAACAAGTCGGGTTCTTCGCACAACTCACGAATAATACCGAAAAAGTCGTTGTATGGTAGAACTCTACCGTCGTGGGTTCTCTTGAAATGAAACTCGTCGAGACTTTCGTCTAGGACACCAACTTCATCAAAAGCTATCAGAAGATATTGATCAGAAGGAATGCCCAAAGTATTCCGTCGCTCTGGAATTAGAAACTTTGAACAAGGAGGAATGTATCTGTAGGCTTCATAAACTGTAGACCCATCTAATTACAAGCTGATCGGTACAATAAAAAGTACAAAGCCCACTCAAGTGTGGGCTCCAACTCCCTTTGATCTACATAAAGCAACGAAGCCTCTTTCAGCTTCTCCAAAAAGAGTCTGCTCGAAAGGTCCGAAGCAAAAGTCGACAGGAAAGTCTCGACAAACCTTCGAACCAACTCCAAATAGGTTTAACAAAACGTAGTTTTGCGAGAGCCAAAAAGATGGGGGACATGTTAAACCCCTGAGTTGCTTTCGACTGTTACGAAGATCATACAGTTCTTCTGTCACTCGAAAAACATCCCTTTCACGGTTTACTACATATGGGTTGTATCGGTTTGAAACATTACACTCAACCATCGTCTTCTCAAGTATGAAAAGTTGGGAATTGTTGCTTTTAGATGGCTTGAAACAGACTCTTCATTATCTAAGGATAAGTAGTATTGAAAAATAAGTTTAAAATAACAAAGAGGAAACCTTAAGCTCTTTTGTGAGCTATAATACTTTGGGTCATGTTATTCATATTTACTGTTATTTCAGAACATCTTCCTTAAAGAAGTTACCTCAAAGTCGAGTTCACTTGAAGTTCAAGTGTGGCAATGAACAGCGTGCTGGTTCGTGTTTCAACAGATGCAAATTCAGCCTACTGCGTATCAGAACA